GGAAGGACCTCAAGAATCTGCGAAGAAATATTTTCGAAAAATAATATTAAAATATTATGAATTCTATAGTCAGGCATCAGGACTTTCGGATACCCCTTAATTATTTTAAAATTAGCATGAACATGGCCTGATCTACCTCTTTTTCGGTTACGCCTCTTCCTTTTTAAATGAAACCTCGTGACTTTTGTCTAAATATGCTTAAGCAGAATGGTAACTTTAGAAATGTTTCACAATTTCGTTGTTAAATGTTTCAGTATTTCTCATATAAAACCAATTTCAGAACCAAACATAAAATTGACATTTTAAGTTAAGTTTTTTGTAATTAGTGAGCCTGCTAGAAAAGTGCAGATTTAATATTCATCAACTTACCAACAATGTGTGTCCAACAACGTGTTGCCGGGGCACCGTAACGATAATTATTGCTCTGGAGTGGGCGTTGGGTCGGAAAGGGAGCCAATATGTTGGCTTGTGTTCTTGCTGGCAACACGCGCGACGATGACGGCGAACCAGAGCTGCCTGGCAGATGGAAAATTCGGGAAATTCAACCAGCTAACCAGCAGAAAGCAAGCCGGCAAATAAAAACAGCACCAGAACACGGAAAGAGCCCGGATCGGGGTTTGGAAGCTATGGTCCTCGGAAACGGGGAAGTGGGATAAAGTGGGACGTTGGAGCCGATGGAGCTGAGCTCCCTTGCAGAGGTTCAAATTCAATATGGCGGCACAGAGGAAGTGCCGCAGACGCAGATGGGCGCACGTGCATGTGCATTTGTGCATCTGTGCGTGCGAGTGGGCTCTCTCGTTGAACCAACAGCTTGTGGCGTCAATTTGCGGACATTATTGTTTCATGACTGCCAACTGCGTAACGACCAGCGAGGCCTAAGCAAAGCCGCCCGAAAACTCACCGCAATCATGGGATAACAGCTTTCCGGCGGGCATCTCTGGCTATTGTTTTCCAATGCAGCTGCATTAAAAACAATGGCAGCAGGTCAGCAGGTGCTATCTAATTTTTGATTATTCGCGTGATTTGTGAGCAAAAATTAATTGAGGCTGGCGGTTTTGTTTTCTTTTCGGGGTGTTATTGCTGCTTCTGCTCCCATTTTTCATTTAGTTTTCGAGCGAAGTCCAAAATGCATTCGATTCCGAACCAAATAATTACGGCACAATGAATGCTCGGCTACCGATATATATCCATTATACTAATATTTGGGGTACATGCAAAAAAGCGAAATTATTTCGATTTTGTGCTAGAGCGAATTTTGGTTTAATTTACCATTCTGTAATAAATTTAAAAGGACCTTTCTGCAACTCAGCCTTTATAAACATAATACTAAATTAAAATAAATAAGTATGCAGTTCCCTTTGCGACTTGGGTAAGATTCTCTCTCTTCGCGACTCTCAGCTACCGGTTACCTTCTTAAGAGAGGCTTCCTGGAAAATGTCATCCAAATCAACACTCTCTTAGCTTGATGGTTACGTCTTTAAATTAGCGGTGAGATAGGCGATTTAATATTAGACGAAATCAATATCATAAAACATTTCAGTATGTCTGTACGTAGTTTAAAATCGAGTGAACTATAGGTAGGTCTGCAGTATTTGGAAGAGTATTTCTCCGAGTCAAACTCTCAAAGGGATATTCCGATAGCTTGTGGCTGTGAAATTGAAATACCGATTATAGAGCATTATGAGTGTATGAAAATGTTTTGATTTACAGAGAGTGTTAGTGAGGGGAGCGCCGAATGTGTGATGTAATGCTACGGAGCCTGTTACAACTCCTTTGTGGGCTTAGCTTAGTGCAGCTCATTAATGGAATACGGCTGTGCGTGCCGGACTGCCGTTCCGCATTTGTGTAGGTGTAAACTTCGAATGCCTTTGCCCCACGTTGAGCTTTGATTTACCACTAATGAGAAAGCAATTGTGGGTAGAGACCAAGAAGAGCGTAATATCGTAGTAATAACATCTCCAGCTTTTAAAAGCAAAGCCACTTCTCAGCGATTTTTTCTGGAAGTAAACAAAAGGTAAGAAATTTGATTCAAGAAGTTGATTTGTTAACTTTCCTTATCACTACTTCTTTGATAGCGTATTACAATATTAGGTTGTAAAAAAAGGCTTGCGGTGTTTTCGCTTGTTGGCGCTGAAAGCGCGTAGTTCTTGTTTTATTCGTCGCATCAGGTCATACTATACCTTATTGAGCAGTTTTTGGACCCGATACAGTTTCCATTTCCAACGCACAGCGATGGTATCAACGTTTTCGTTCTGGTGCAGAGGTGGTCGAAGATGCGCCACGCTCCGAGTTTTTTGCCAATAGGGAAGCGAGCTTCTATGAGAGGAAGTTGGCATCTCCTTGGGAACGCGTATTAGACTTGAATCGTTGCATTATTGTAACCAAGTTTATACCGCAAGACTTTTTTGACAACCTAATATCATGGCAGGAACATAGCATTTAAGACCTTTTTTATTGTTTCAACTATATTATTTACTTTCTTGACAAACTATTCTAACATTGACTATAAGGTTAACAATGCAAACATTTTACATTTCTCCACTTCCATGTTATAGCTGAAATAGCGCCATAACAGCGACAAAGGCTATAATAACCCTACCTACCCTTCTAACCCTTTGCTATGTTGGTTTTTGTGACATCTGTTGGTATCTTAGACTAACATCAACTCAACAATTTATCAATAAATTAAGAAAAATATCAACATATATACTTAGGTAGCTTAATTATTTGGACTCTTTTGATTTTTCTAAATCGACTTACATGGCAGTATCGATAACAAGAAACTTAGTGGCGAGAGTAAAACCAAAGGCGAAAAAGCGATGTTGTAGACAATAACGATAGAATGATGAGCATAAACGAAACAAGAGAGAAGATTGAGACATTAGTAGCGAAGTATGTCGCAAGAAAGGTGGAGATATTTTGTTCAGCTTTGGGGAGCTCAAATAATATTATCGAGCAACGAAAAAGATGGATATTCGAAATGAGAAATAATCAAAGAAAGTGCAGCGAACATAAAAGATATGTATAAAGGAGAAGATATGTAAAAATGCAGCGAAGAACCCAAAAAGTATTTATATCAGGACTCTTGCACAAATATCTTAGGATGGTAACTATTGACGTTATTCGTAGTGTAAATCCATATATCACCATCAATATTCAAAACGGTTTGGCCTTGTCCGTTCGCCGGTCAGCTGAAAGCTGAAACCTCAGGAACTATTATGGACAAATTGCAAACATTGGGAGTTTTTAAGGTATTTAATAAAGTTAAAGGCGTAAATATGGGTTCACTTGGTAACAACTTTGGCATCACAGGGCGGGTAAACTTGTAAACTACCTCTCACTTATCCGACTCTCTACCAGCCATCTTTCGGTACTCAATCCACCCACTGATTGGGGTTAACAAAGATGTCGGATACGGTGCCGCGCAGAGACTTAATCCCCTGGCTGGAGGGGACCGGCTTTGGTCTCTGGTCCACATTGCTCATCCATCGACTGAAGGCCTGCTCCGCCTGTTGCCGGCGGATCGCTCTTTCCTGTTGCCTTCGCTGCTCAGCTCTTCGCAGCTCCATGCGACGCTGTTCCACCAGCCTGAGCTTCTGTAGCTCCCACTTCTGCAGGTGGCTCTGTACAGAAGCGGGGGTTTTCTGTGACGGGATCTGAGCAGGCCGAACGGGTTTGGAGCTACTCGTGTTGGTTGTGGAGGCCTGTCGAGACTTCTGCTGGCACCACTGCTCGTATTTCTCCTTGGCCAGTTGTTGGCGCATCGCCGTCTGCTCCCTCTGCAGCTTCAGTTCAGCTTGCTCCGCTTGTAATTTGTATTGGCACTGGCGGCGCTTGCCGGACAGCCAGTTTTCGTAGGCTTCATCGGCGGATCGCTCTACCCGGATGGGATCAAGGTGGCGGGTGTAGGTTAATGGCGGCGATCCACCGTTGGAACCCAAACACAGGGAGGGCAGGCTGAGGCTGAATGGCATCTCTTGCGAGGCAAGCATGCTCTCTCCCCGGGACATCGCCTCTTCCCAGCTGCACATCGAGGTAGTCGAATCTTTGTCGGAGGAATTCGACCTGGTGCTGCTGCTGCTGCTGCTGCTGCTACTGTCGCTACTGCTGGGACTGCCCAGATCCAGGCAGAGTGTTCTTGACTCGGTCTGCAGGACCAAGTCCTCTCCCTGTAAGTTACCTTCAGTCTCCAACGTTTCCAGGGTTCCCGAGGACATAACCGAGCAGCAGCGCAGGGTGGAGGTCTCCGTCTCGTCCAACGAGTTGATTTCACTGGGCGACACGGAGCTGCCCACGTAGCGCACCGTGCTGGGGCTTCCCATGGAGCGCAGCAGACTAACCTCGCCGTAGGTCTTGATGTAGGTCCGGGAGCCCTTTGTCTTTGGAAGCAGCGCATTCGTCTCATCCTCTCTAACTTGGCTTGCTGAATTCTGCTGAGGCTGGATCTTGGCTGCACGGCCGCTGAATACCTCACAGTCGATAAGGGTTCCCTGGCTATTGACCCGTCCAAGAAATGCCATTTCGCAGAGCTCCTTGTTCCTGAGGATCTTCATTGAGTCCAACTAATTGCATTTATGGATCGTTGGTAGCTACCTACCTTAGTGTGTACCCAATATTCAACTACAATACGTCGTCTGGGACGATTTATGGAACACCTTGTAGTCTTCAAAACCAGTCAACTTTGCAGTCTACGAAAAGTGTTTGAGTTTGTGTGTGGGAATAGCAAACAAAAAACTTTCTTTTAACTTTGACGTAATTCTCAATAGTGGAATGAGATTAACTTATGATGTAGGTGCATGCTTAATCATAAGATAACGTTTTAATTTCATCATTATTTAATGTTCTCTCTTTTATACTTCATAGAATTATTGAAAATAAAAAAGTTATGTGATTGATTATAAAAGTTCATATAGTTGGCAAATTCTTTAGAAATTTAGTAAAGTCTAGAATAAAGCATTTCCTTTATGCATTTTGATGCCGATGGTATAGCTCAAAGTTTTCTGGCCGATCGCTGATCTCGACGTATGGTGAGCTTAGCAAGCACTTACATTCTTTATAACCTCTAACCCTGTAAATTTTGTATTCTCAAAGCAGAACAAGTATTTAATAGACAGAAATACCCTAAGTTTAATGGACATATCCTAGCAATATTTGACTACCTGCACCTACATGGAACGTCAGCAATGCTATAAAATGTTGCCTTTAAATTTCGGCTACGGCACGTTTGCGCTGCTAAGCCTTTGGATTTCATTTTCTATTAATATACAATTTAGCTATTTTTCCATATTATAATTCTACGTCTGTGCCACAGCCCCCACACCCCTCCCCAGTCCAGTGGGCACCGATCGGGCCTCGCACAACTTGATTGCCGTTACCGATGCAGCTGGAGTAGCCGCGAACGGTTGTTGCTCTTACATTCTAATCGAAATTTTTATTGTTTACAGTCACGAAAGTGTGCGACGCTGGAGCGATGACGACAACACGGCGTCGTCTGCGGTGGTGCACCGGTTCACCGGTTCACCGGCTCACCAGGTCAGGGGGAAGTGCAGTGGTGCAGCGAAGCAGTGGTGGCGGCGGGGTAATGTCAGTTATTTGACAGCGACGACAGTCGAGTACGATGGCGAGGCAGACATGCATGCATCCACACTGCTTGCCTCTCTGTTGCAGCCCCAAACTTATCGCCACAGCGACTGCTGAGCTCAGTGGCGGGTTTAAGGGGTGCTCAGGGCTTGAATGCCAAGCTGATTGGCCTTGTAACAACCGTCCTTTCAATTTGGGAAATCACAGATTGTTTTTGCTTTCGATAATCGTGTTCTGCTGGAGTTCTAACTATGATTTTCTGCGACCCAGTAACTGTTACAGGAACTCGCCGTACCATCAACATCCCCAAAAATATTTAGTGCCTTCGCCCCTGTACGAAGGTACGTTTTCTAGCCGCGGTGTTTAAAAGCTAAGCCAAAACTGCGCCACTTAGGCGAGCGGCATAAAAATTGCTGCGCAGAGCCTCCACGCCTCTTTCGGCTTTAACCACATTCAAAAACAAAAGGCGGAAAAGTGGAATAAGTGGTGGAATCAGTAAAACCAGGAGCGGCAGACGTCGTTGGCAATGCAACCGGCATTATTTTGTATTTCCCCAACAAGCTGCAGCGACGTTTGCAACAAGATTTGCTTTTATCGACAGCAGACATAGAAGTCAATCCATACCCTTAAGTCCTCGAAACACGAAATTCCATTAGTCGTGAATGCATTTCACGAAACTTTCATTGATACAAATCGAAATTACTACCCAGGGGCAAAATTATTTGGAACGCATAATTTTTTGAAGTCTTTTGGGTTGTAATGAAAAGTTTGATGGCTGATCAATGTCTCTGATTATAAGCTGCATATGGCAATTGAGTTAGGATTTGACTTTCCCAGACCATTTTCTATATTAACGCCATTGGCTGATAATTAAAAGAATCTTTACTTAGTACGAGTAAGATTGTGTCTCATTCAACCATTTGTTACTAAAAGATCCATTTTGAAGTTTTAGAAAAAGGAGTTTGGCGAGTTGGTAAAAGAACATCGGTCGCTGTGGAAACTAAACTAAAGTCCCAAACAAAAAGTACGATAGAGCGAAAGAGCCTTTAGCCCCTCCCTTTCCAAAACCCCTATTACAAAACAGCTTATTTCGCTGGCAGACCACGAGTTGAGCCACAGAAATCCGCACTATGATTGTTCTCCAAAGAAGACCGTTTGGTTTTTGAATCCTTCGTAAAAACCATAAATTCCTGCGAATTCCCATTTTTTTAGCGAATTATTACTTCTGGGTTTCTCATTAAGATCATAACAATATGAAGGAAATCTGAAGTTTATATATTTCTGCAAAGGAAAACATGCATATACCTGTATATATGGACTCTATATATATCCGATACTTCTGGCCAAAAAAGCTAGACGCCTTGCTTCCATTTACCTTTTACATACTCGTACTATTTTAAGGATAACTAATAAAATCTAAAATTAAGACACATTTTTTAGCATCTAAACACACAAAGTTGTAATGCCGTACAATGCCGTAGTGATAGTCATATTCCTAAGAGTGCTTGTTTCAAATTTAAATGAATCTTCTTGGCCACAGATTGTGGAAGAGCCTCTTCAGCTAACTTTTCCCGCTCAGACCTTTCACTTTCAGACCAAACGTGCAATTAATAGGAAAACCCCATTAATATGCTCACCCCTTGGCAAGCCGAGACAAGAAGTCAGTCACTGAGGCAGCGAGGCAGTGAAGTGAGCCTGAAAGTCGGCCAGAATATGACTTATTTAAGTCGGAGCCGCGTGTTAATAACTTTGCAAGCCTCGCCAGGCATGCAAACTTGGCTCATGTGAGTGTCCTTCGTAGGATTTTGCTTCCTTGCCAACGTTCTGCGTGTGGCAGGCAGATTAAAGTGACAGACAGGGCTACGCAGGAAAGTAACAAAAGGTGGTTAAGTCCTTGTAAGTGTTTAAGTCGACAAGGGGTCGGTCGACAAGGACGAGGCTCGATGCGTGTTTATAGCGCTGTGAAATGAACATTTTGCAAGGTGATTTAGCAGTTATTAGATTTTTCAACCCAAAGTGGCTGGGCAGGCCTTCCACGTTTCCTACCTTCTGTCTGCAAGTCCCCTTGGGAATTCCCGGCTTCCTTTCCTTTTTATAATCCTGCAAAGTTTTTATTTGATTGCGACAAATATTCTCATCTGTGTCCCAACGAGAACTAAGCCCAACAAAACGTCAAAGGCATTTGGGCAAAACAATTGCAGGGCCAGAAGTTTACGCTTACTCGCAACTTTTCAACTATGCCTGATTAAATAAAAGCCTGAAAAGAGTTCGTCTAGTTGTCCATGGGAAGACATTCATATTGCATAAGTAAATATGCAAAATTGTTATCCAAGAGGGGTTGTTCCATCTCTTTTAGACTTTCAAACTACTTATCTAACTCCTACATTTCTGAACACTTTCCGAGTGTTTTATAATTTCCGTCAGAAGATGTGAGTAGGAAAATGCATTTCTTGATCGGCCCCACCAGTCCACCCGGGAGATTTCGGGGTTCAACGCCCTGCCACTATATTAATAAAGCAAAGCATTTTATTAGGATAATCCTACTTATTTTTGGGAAATTCTGAAAAATATTTAAGACTTATTGAGTTATAAGGGAGAAGGAGCGCCAAAAGTGTCGTGACAGTGGATATGTACATTATGTGGACACTTCTTAATGAATACCATAAACCATTTTACTTGATGACTCTTCTTTTCATATCTAAGAAGAATATATATAATTGGTATATTGTTGAAGTGCTTGGGAATACAGAGGAGTTGGGGGATGCATACTTATCTGGAATTCCCACGGAGCAGTGTCCTCGAAGGACGACTTATTATGCAAGTCAAAATACTTGATTGAATTAAAACAAACCACTTGGCCATACATTTAAACTTTGTTTGCCGGCTTTTAATAAATTTAGCTCGCTTCCAGAGAGTCCGACTGTGTAGATTGGCCCTAAGTAAGCCACACAACTTTGCAGAGCAACTTTGGCACATTTCTTAATTAGCTTTATGAGTTTGCTGCGAAGCACCTGGCGAAATTCCCATGCGTGCGGTCAGTCAGGTGCCCGGCCTAGTCCGAAACTTTCCTTGCTGGGCAAACATTATGCAAAAAATGATATTAAAACTTTGCGTATGATGCTATTGTTCAACTTTATGTGTGCGGAAGAGCGGGTGAGGGTAAGTCTGGGGAAGGCGGAGTGGGGACCTATCAATAGCAATGCCAACAATGGCCAATTTGTAGGAAGGTTCTTGAGGCGCATAAATTACACCTTGCCTCCTAATTGGACCAGTCCTTGATGAAAATGCGACAACGTCGAACGGCGATGGTGGAGGCGACACTTGAAATCAAAATTCACGACGGAGGAAGCGGAAAATCGCTGGAAAATGCCCGCAGTCCCTCGAAGTGGGCGTGAAGCGAAGAGGCAGCAAGGCGTAACATGCGATAAAATTGAGTTGGAAACGTGTCTCAAATCTAAAATTAACAAACTGCCCGAGTTAGTCAGCGAGTCATAGAGTCGCAGAGTCACAGAGCCATCGGGCCACCAAGTACGGCCGTGAGTTAGCCGGATCCGTCCCTTCCCGGCTAAATGTCCTGCGACGCTGCCCAGCCTGCATGTAAATGAGTTTTTAATGATGTCCACGTTGGCCGTCTGCTACATTCAAATCCACTTCGGCCTCGATTTTTCCCTCCACTGCCTGGCAGTGCGTCTCTTTCGAGTGTCATAGTTTGCCTAATTGCTGACATAATTTTCCCGGTTTTTTCCTGCTGCCCTTTAATAGTTTTTTCGCCGTGCTCCGGCAATTGGTTCCATGTAAATGTGGATCTGATTAGCGGCAGTCGTGAATTTCAATTTGATCCTTAATGAATTGCTAATTTAAGCTTCTTTTCGTGTAAATGAAACTACCACCAACCTTTCGACTTAAAAGTTTAGCTTAAAGTTTGTTTTAATAATTGATTTCATAAGTGTCTGACTTGGCAATTCAAAATCTTAATCATACGAGAGGGGAAATAATATGTAATATCTAGGCTAGTCACCTGAGAAATCTTTTTAATTCCAGAAAAGAACTCTCGTTATCATTTTTCAACCTATCAGCATTTGGTTCAGCAAATATATTGAACTGCCGTCGAACACCATGTCCACCTTTCCCCTCCGACAAATTTTGCATAAGAAAGGCCCAATCTTTCATGGCCTTTCGCTGAGAAAAACCTAAATAAAAAAGGGCCAACCATAGATTAACTCCAGTTTCAGTGGCAGAAAAAAGATATATTGCCACGTGTTTAGTGGTAAAAACAATGGATCCCCACCATCCTTGGACTGCTCGCTGTGCCCATAAATAATGCAATGGAAAAGGGGTTCAGGTCCGACCCACCCCTGACTGTTAGACAAAGGCAGGTGCAAAATAAAGGAAGCTGAAGAGGTCAGCGGATCCGGCGATGCTGGGGTTTTATGCTCAGACAATGGAACAGATATTTATCAAACTGATGTCGTGTGATCAATAATGTGGGCGGTGAGAGACGATGTTATGGAGCCTCCGACGGGTGGATTATGACTGATGTTGGGCCTCTAAGAAACGGAAGTGGACAGGGCAGTGGACAAATAAACTGGGGAATGTAATGACTGAACAGTAGAGAGTCAGATAAAAACTCATAAGAAATCACCGAAGTTATGTTATTAAGTTTTCTAATATTTTCATTCCAAGTTGCCATTTAAAAACTTTAAAAGTTTGAATATGAATTCGAAGAATGAGACTCCTTTAGTAAATCAATGACTTTGTTGGATATTTTTTTTCAGGGCTTAATAAATATCACAAAACCATCGGAAAGTGAAAGGTTCAGGTTCTGAATTTATTCATCGGAACTAGCCAAATCACGTTTTAATGTTAAGCCCAGAAGTATGCAACAGTAAATACCACAGGCCTCACTCAAACATGAGGTATTGGTACTCAAATAGGGTGTCTATCAATGAAAGCGAAATGACTGCTCGCACAAATATAAGGTATTCAGGTATCAGCTTTATTAACACTTTCAGAACTAAATCCGTTTTAATGAGCTATCTCGAAAGGTAGATGTCCAGAATCTCCCTGATGGCCAATAAGGAAGCCCTCGGGCTGTGTATTTGCAGCCTTTGGGTTCTGGCCTGTGGTTCTGGAGGCGGTTGCTCAATCTGGACATTACCCTGGTTAGGTTGCCATCAAGCCGAAATGCACACTGCAATAATATCAAAGCGAAAGTGCGTAAACAATGCAAACAAGCTGGAAACGACTTGACTCTGAGCTCTTCCCTTGACTCTCTGGCCATGCCATACCAAGCAGCAAGCGCGCCTGTTGCAACAACAACAGCTCCAGCATTGAGATGATGAAAACAAACAGCAACAGCAACAGCAACAGCAACAACAACAACAGCATTAACAACAAAAGCAGCACAAGCAACACAAACTAGTTAGTGCAAACAACATTGATGACGAATAACATGCTTCAATACCTTCCAAATTTAATCCTGCCAATGCCCGATATTCGGGACCTGCCCCTTCCCAACCGGCCGTGTTTCCCCATCATTTCCCAGTATCTCGAACAAACAACGGAGCATGCATGAGTAGGCATCGACCTGGTCAAGTGCACACTGTCAGAATAGCCACGTCGAACGGGCCCTCAAAGTGTGCCAATAGTTTTCGGCTCTTCGGAAGTATATTTAGTTTCGTTCTTAGTCGATATTCGATCTGACAAATTGATATTTCCCAATTCTCACTCTTAATATAAAAATGGTTATCTTCTTGGATCCAAATCTTTCATCGTTTACCTGTCGTACCTATAGCAATCATACAAAATGTAGAGAACTAAAACTGAGATTATGCAATCGTTAAAACGATTTTTTTAATTGTAGAAAGACGGGATATTTTCTTACAGGCGGCTTACATATGGTACATATATACTGATCCGAAATATTTACTTTATTTATTTATTAATTTATTAATTCGCTTAAAGACTAAACCAAAGGAAGGCGGACGATAGTCCATAAATTCCTTGTTAATTTAAAAAGTTTATATAGGTGAATCTTTTGACCAAATAATTAGTTTTTATCTTTTATATAGTTTTCAACGAATATCACATCTTCTGTTATTTTACAATATAAAAAGTAGAGATAAAAGTAGAATATTAGTCACATAACATTAGCACATTATTATTTTGCCTAAAAGTTGCACGGATATTTCGATGCGTGAGCGTGTCGATGTGATGATGTGAAATCCGGCTGCTGCCTAAGCAGTGTGCCTAAGTGTTTTAAAATAAAAATATTATTTATTAAACTTTCGATTCTTTTTTTTAATTTGATGTCACCAATTAAATTGGTTATTGAAATATTGTGAAATTCTTATGCAGCGAATTGCTAGTTAGAAGATATTTCACACGTTTTCGCCACTACACAAGCCACAGTGCAGATCCCATGGCTGTGTGTGCGGACTCATGCGTGTGTGAACTGGAAACCAAACCGACGGTGACCTCATCAAAAGGATTTCCAACGTCTTTTTGGTCTTTTTGTTTGCCCGGACCGGCTGGCCTTTGACTTTGCTGCAAGGGGAGCTTCGAGCAAGCCGAGCGCTGGGAAATTGTGCAAATGAACTTTAGGCCTTTGGCTTTGTTTGTTTGCATTTCGGTTTCCCACTCCTGGCTGCCGGTTTCTGTTTTCCACTTGATGCTACCTAAAACATGCTTTATTTTATTTTGGAACAATATAATTTCGTAACTTTTCAGACGCACAGGATCAGAGACACAGCGCCGGGCAGTCCTGGGAATCTAATGAAAATGGGCAGGGCTTTCCACCATTTCCTCAGCATCCGCTACTCCCCAGCTTATATCCTGCCCGAGAATGTATCTTGTCCAACAACAATTGAAATCTTATTGAGTGTCCTGTCCTCTGCAGTTCCAGCTTCGATTTCTGCTTACCTCTTTTCTTTTGTGTTTTTATTGCAAATTGTTATTTGCTATCGTAAGTGCCCCTCCCTTGCCCCACGTGTCCTTGCCCCCCTCTCTGGCAATGGCTTACAAAATTGGTTAAACTGTGTATTGGCGCAATTGTATAAATTGACTTTTGAATCGCTCGGAAATAGTGGTTGACCACTATTCGTTTTTTGCAGGTGGAGATTATCACGAGAATGTGTTTAGTTTGGTGTGAACAGGATGAACTTACGTTTTATTATCAAAAAAATGAAAGCATAGTCAATATATGTTAATCGTTCGATTTAGATAACGCGGTCGTAGTACTTCGCTTTCTTATCCTACAAAGTGAATTAATCAGTCAATATTAAATCAAAAACCTTCCATGGAAACTGAAGAATGACGCAACATTTTGTGTCACAGACATGCATTTTAATAATTTTCGTAACTTCACCCTGCTTGATTCGCTTTTCGGATCAGCTTACAACACTGGCTTTATATTTTGTGGACCATTTGAAACACTGAAAAGGCTTGCATCGACAAAAGATAGTCTGAGTGGATGGGTTCACTGTGGCCGGGGCTTTTGAGAATCCATCCAGGGTGTGGGGTTAACGTAAAGCTGGGAAATGGTGCCTCGCAGAGAGTCCAGGCCCTGATTTAGGGGAACTGGCTTGGGCTTCGCGTCCACGTTGCTAATCCACTTTTCCCAGGCAATCTGAGAGAGTCGCCTGCGCCGTTCCTCTTCCAGCGCCTTGGAGAGCATGGTGCGACGTTTCTCCTCGCGCTGCATCTGCTGCTGTCGTTGCTTCTTCAGCCACCAGTCTTCCACGACCTTGCGGATTTCGTCCTGGGACACCTTGCGCATAGGCCTGGCGGCCGAGGATTTTGAACCAGGTCCCAATGACGAGCATGTGGACAGCAAGGGATCCTTTCCCAGAGCAAAGCTGGCCTTCATGGCAGCAGTCTGGAGGTGTGTCTGCAGTTGCAGGTTCGCCGCCTGGCGAGCCTTATCCTTCAGCCACTGGTCGTAGCACATCCGGGCCAGCTGTTTGCGCTCCTCCACCTGCTGCAAGTTGGCGTCCTGCATCTGCTTCAGTCGCTTCTGCCTCAGCAGGCGCTGCCGCTGCTTCGCTGAGTACCAGCTTTCAAAGGCCGCCTCCGGCTCGCGATCCATCTGGAGGCACAGGGGTAAGCATGGAGCAAATGGTCAATCGGTAAAGACAGATGGGGCTGTACATGGGCTCTACTCAAAATTATTTTGGTCGAAATACAAATTGGAAGTACTTTATGGCTTCATTACATAGAAAAGTGATCTACGTGGAATAATAAGTACTTTTGCAAAGAACTCGCCTGAATATTAGCATTATTAAAGTTTCAAGGACTAAAATGAAACAAAATAAGTTTCAAATATATGCTTTTGTCCATACTGACTTTTTATATTGCCTATGCATTTATTTTTCATTATTAATTTAGGTTTTTTCTGCCGCGTAAAATGCTGACCCGGACAGGTTAAGATCAGAGATGACTTTCTGCCACTGTCAATATAATACGATAGGTCTGGTGCTTAAAATAAACGAACTATTTTGTCAGCATTACATTCTTATGATATATTCACAAGTAATAACGCAATACTAGAAAGTTAATCCTTTGATCCATTTTAAACTGAATAGTAAGAAATTGAAACCCATTCTTAAAGTTGTCATGCGAGTTAATGCTACTTAAAAAATTGATTAAATGTTTTTTGAACTTTTGCTTTGAGTTGAGTTGAGTCTACAAACGAATTCATCCGTCCTAGCTAAAGAGGTTTCTCTGTACTTGCCTTTATTCCATCTATGTGCTTGAGGTAGTTCAGGGAGCTGTCCTGGGAGCCAAGGCACAGAGAGGGCACAAAGTTGCTCCGGCTGTCCGACTTCTTTATGCCGTCGTAGACCGACCAGTTGCCCGCGGAGTGGGGCGAAGGATTGCCACTCAGGTTCTTTAAGGAGTAAGTGCGTGTGCTGGTGTTTTGGGGGAGCGAGTCCGGGGAAGAGATCGAATTTGGCGAGTCGCTGGAAGAGGAAGATCGCGTGATGCGAGTTCTGCTGGTGAAGGACTCGTCTTTCAGGACTAATTCCCCGGAGTCGGTCACGTGGCCGTAGAATGCCATTGTCTGAAGTTCGAATTGCGGAAATGTGTGAGCCTGTTGAACTGAGAATAGGGATTATTATACTAGTGAACGAAATAATTTTTTGGCTTTTCAACTTTTTAACCTGCTTGTCAAGATTCGAACTTGTAACTAAAAGCGAAGCCTACGGAAATGTTCGGTAGTCTGCCGGGTTTTGAGTTGTTTTCCCCCACTTGCTGGGCTCCGGGCAGGAAGCGCTCGTCAATGCGAACCCGTGAAATGTTTGTCACAGCACATAGCCGCGCAATTAAACCTGCAGCCCGACAATTTCACTTCCATATGCAGCGGAAAATTTTAATTACAATGCCGGGCCAACAACACCACAATAACAACGGCTGCAAACGAACTAGCGAATATAAAGAATACCGTACACGTGCCTTGGCGCTGACGTCCTGGCTGACGGTGTAAACCTCAGTTGCCGACACATCAGTAAATGGCGGCGGCCCATTGACATTTCCGCTGATTACTTTATGGCCGAACACATGTACACGGACCTCCGCCGGGGCAGTGCATAACGGTCCGACGCCTGTCGCAACATGACATGACATTTCAACACCCCACCAGCCCACCAGCCCACCCTCCGCCCGTGGATTCTGGCCATCAACTCGCGACGGTCGTGGGTCTCATTTTACAAAGGGTATAATTACTTTGTAATGATACTCGTATTACCTTCGACCTGAAAAAAGTAATATAAATGTCCCATCAGTCCTGCTTACTTGGCCATTCCACCGAGCAGACGAGACTGCGGGGACGTTCCGGAAACCTTTAAAGTGTTTGGCGATCGTGACAGAACTCTGCAAGTTCCTTTTTTTGTTTGACATCTGAAATGTTTTCCGAACTAGTGAAATCCAAGGGATAAATATGGCTTCATCGCGGAGATCTCTTTTTAATTCGATCTTAGTGTCCCAAAAGTATCCCCTAGCCAGAAACTAATCCAACTTCTGCATTTTGAAAAGTGCACTTCGCAGAGATTTTCCAACCTTTCTCACTTAATCTGATTAAGGAACGAGTCCTTCTATTTTATTACTATAAAACGGCTAAACGTAGATTGAGTTTCCTCTTTCAATGACTAACAAACTTCTTAGAATTCTCAGTAACAAAATAATTGCTTAACAACTGTTCCTAATTCATTAAAATAGATCATTTCTCTCTGAGTCTCTCTTGCTGATGTTACGAAACGGTTAGTGCTGTATGGGCAGAAAGAGAAGCTACGTTAGGGTATAGTTAGCTTTCCGCAAGAGCATCGGGATGCCTTCCCTGTGATCACAAGCGTCGGAGGACGTGATGCACTGTCGAGGGTTAAAGCACAAGGACACACACTCCTCACACGCACCATTGAGCCGAACTGACACATTCGCAAACAAACAGGCGCAGCACCGAAAACCGAACACCGAACACCGAAAATCTCAAAATGTAATGACAGGCTAATTATGCGTGCAAATGGTTTATAAATATTTTATAATGCCCGTGTGACCCTGACTTCGAGTGACTGGGATGGTGGGGGCTGACCCGGAATCCAGACATACCTGGACCGAACTGCCGCCCCCGGCAGCCTGTGCATGGTGGGCGATTCGGCCTTCCGACTGTTTGTTTCGGATTGGGTGCAGGAGGGATGGTGCAGTTGTGTGTTTTGCGCATCGCTGATTGCATTGCGGTTTTACGACTTCATTATTGTTAATTATACGCCACGATGTCAGCCCCCTCCCACTCCGACTACGTCGAACACTGTGAGAGGAGGCCTATTCCTCTCCAGGCATCTGTCAAAAAGGTAAACGAGAAAATTCAAAAATATGACATTGCGGAAACCACAAACTTAATTGGGCTTATGGCATCGGCAGGCACTGGGCGACTAATTTCTCACTGTGGTATGCACATTACGGATTGGGCGCCGAAACTAATTTCCATTTGTCCAAGTTTGAGGGTAATAAATGTGTTTGCCACAATAAAACTAACATTTTCGCTCGATTTCGTTTTACACTGGAGGATGAGTAAGCTTTTTAACTGTTCTTATGGCTGCTGTTATATAATGTAAAGTCAGTGGACAAATGACATACAAATACCTGCAGTAGGAGCAAGAAATTCAGGTCAAGGTCATGCCGAAATAATCAAACTTGAGGTGTTGACAAGAAGGTAGTAATCAATACAATTAACACTGTACTGAAGAAAAATTGAGAAGTGACAAGTCGCAGAAAATGTAGCCTCCTAATAAAAAGGCATAAAACGTTTTTCTTAATCATTAGCATTTGTCAAAGAACATCAAATTTCATTTCTACGATTTGTATTGTACTCATATGGGAGTGTTTCCTTGGCTTACGAATAAAAATGGTACTCCAAGTGAACAATTACAAGAAAGAGAAGGGAAAGAACGGGAAATCTGCAAAAGTTACTCGCCAATTGTCCCATCGCAGAGAAACTGGAGGTGAGATATTACGATCTCAGAGGCGAAAACCACCACTTAAGCGAAAACCAAGTGGGAGCAATCGATTCCAAGCAATCGATATAAGATTGAAGGTCATTAAGATCATTGCCTTCATGACAAGAAACGTAAGGGAAAGGTCTCAAAGTTGCGGTTGCAACATGTCTTTGTCTTTAGACTTTGGTCGTAATTGGAAATTGGAAAAGCTTTCCTTATTCTGAAGGCTTTTCCTTCTTTCTGGTTCTGCGAGTTTCACATATGTAACCGAGGAGTTCTCCATGGTCATTATTGACATCTTTTTAATGGTAATTCAGTTCATAGCCCCAAATTGATGTGGTAATTCTTTTTGTTCCTTTTTGCTTTAGCTAGAATGAAAAATAAAATAAAACTTACATTAACGTGAATAAATGAGCCCAGAAACTATGTTTTTGGGTGGTTATTTTCAGAAATCCTTAAAGAAAGCTATAGATTGCGCAAAGTCATACGAGCAGCACAAGAATGTGGCAAGGAAGAGGGCCTTGACACATTCCACATCCATTGGCTGTGTGCGGTACTGCATGGCTTAGTTATCATTAAATGTCGTAAGCCGAAATGATAATGCATAAATGTTAACAAATTTCACAGCATGCCAAGCACACTTAACTCAGGGGAACCCCCTCATCAGAGAATTCATTTTACATGCATGGCAATAGACACACAATGGCAGGATGCCCGACACGCCCCTTATCCTTCAGCTGTTGGGATTTGATTTGAAAATTGTAAATGCGGTCACGTATGTTATTATATCAAATATCTTTCATGGTTATGTTTATATGCTTTCATTTCTTGGGGCTGTCTCCCTCCTATTCCCCACTTTCCCCTCACTCGCAGCTCTCAATAAATTGACTTTTGTATTCGCATTTTGAAATTGTCGCCCATGAACCACATAGATATTTATATAACGAATACGTACGCACTTTGCATCTTCTGCTCTTCGTCGGGGAATCGTTAAATCTGAATTTATATTGAGCTTCTCGTGTTTCTCCTGTCACACTGTATAATTAAATCATTTTGCGGCATCTTAAATCCTTTAAGGCTAATCACAGCAGGAAAGCTTATTAGAAACGAATCTGTGCCACTTTAACTTTTGATCTGGGTTAAAATACTGAAAACAATGAACCAACCTTGCATCGTTCTTTCCTCCATTAAAATAACTTTAGTTCTTCAAATTTGTACACTTAATCAGCCTTTTGGCTGCTATCCCTTAGTTAAGATTAATAATAAGGAAGATTTAAACTGATCAGCTGAAAAAGCAAGATAGTTTTGTAAACTGTACAGCCTGCCACCTCCGTTAACCGATTCCTCAGATATGCTGAGGTTATTTTAAAGTGAAGTAAGACCAGTCAGGAGCCCACGGCCGCGCCGTGAGGAACCCCCAGGGAGAGGAGGCAAATGTGCCTATCATTGCTGCATGTCAATGCCGGCGAAATGTATCTTTCACGCTCAATTTATTTGTAATGATGTCGACAGCGAAGCATCAGTGGGAAAAGCCAGCGGTGCCAGGGAGAGATGGGTAAAAGGCAAAAGAAACGAGGAAGAAATGTTAGGCCGCTATGGCACATTAGTGGCGCCACGAAAAATCCCCAATCATAAAGTGAGCGGACTCGTGGCAACTTTTCGCGAACGCATTTTTCATGTCGGAATCGTTGGGTCTAGGGCAAATGATATCCCCGGGGGCGGGTCTGTGGGAGGGGTCGTATGAAATAGCCGCATGTGTAGCCCTAATGAAATAAACATGTTTGTTAGATACAAATGCGAGTCAGAGGGCCCTGCTTTTTTACGGCTGCCTTTTTTCCGATGCTGCCAGTGCGTATGATTAATATTAGGTGAAGCTGCCTTGCACCTGTCCGCTTTGTAATTAATTGAATTATTTTTCTCAGGACGTGTCCAGTGGCAGAAGAACCGGCGAAGGAGCCAGAGCAGAGCCAGTCCGATGGAATTATAAATTCAAGAGGCATCAAAAACAGCGGAAATGCAATTAAAATTGTGCAAGGTTCACGTCACCCGGCGAAGTGTTAGTCTGTGAGTGTGGCTTAGAAAAAATTACCAACAGCTACTTAGCAGCGTAAAAAACTTCACAGTTTGCGGAGTGCTGCAGGCGGGACGGGCCATATTATGCTTAATTAAGCTGCTTCTGCTCCTTCTCCACAGCATCATCGAGCTGCAAGAATGTTGCCTGTAATGTCCAACGCCAGGTGAGGATTAGCAGAGTAGTAGTGAGGAGCCAAGGCTTCAAGTGGAGCTGTTGACGGTTCAAGAGACTTCCGAGTGCTGGGCCATTGCCGAAGGATGTCGAGGTTTCTTTCCTGGAGTACCTTTTAGATATATTTGAGGATCTTTAACACGCACAAGAAGGGAAGATTAACCCGTAGCTCGTATTTATTTAATTAACACACAAAAAAAAAGAACGATAAAACGATTCCCTCAGATAACACTTACAAGCCAATTGAAAACAAACAAATCGGTTTAAACTATTAAAATTAATCCATTTAAAATAAAAAGGAGCGCTGTGCCATCCGCCGGGGTAAACCTATCCATTCAGAGTGGAATGCTAATGAGGTTAATGTTTGCATTGAACCCAAAAAATGGCGAATGCAAAGGGAAGCTGGGCAGAAGCCCACCAGGTCCTGGCCTGCCATCCTCGCCGTCGGCCTTCCGCTGGCTGCCGTCATAAGCAAAGCCGTGGAATTTCAAAATGTGTGTGCAAAAAAAGTCAGGCAAACAAATGGACAAATAGCAGGGGAAGACTTAAAGAGACCAACTAATCAAGGTAATGAAATCAGTTTTATTTTAGCTTATTTCCCTTTTTCCCTTCGCCACCTCCCCCGCCCAGCATTCTCCAACGAGGCCCACAAGTAAGGCATTTAGAGTGGGGATGCAGTTAAAAGTGTTCGCCAGGGGTTTTGGCTTTTAGCCCACTCCGTCATCGTCTGGCAAAAGGCACTCACCTCACTTGGCCTATCACCAGACTGTCTGTTTGCAGCTCTTCATATTAGAAATTAAAAATATTAAATATTCTTAAAGTGGGTAAACTTGTATGGGCAGACCAGAAGAAGATTAAAGGTCAGCGCTGAGTTGAACCTGAGATCCGTATCGGGAATACAAGTTACGCAATCGTAACTAATCTCCAAGAGTATAATGGACTCCGTGAAAACTATGTAACAGGTAGAAAATAGCCTTTTCAATCCCTTGAAGTATGACCAGATTCAACGTGTGTGTCCAGCTGTCCCAAGGTTTTCTTTACACGAAGAAGTGTGGCGTCCATAAAATGAATAATTGATTTGACCTTAAGTTTTCCTGATATGTCAATACTACCCCTCATAAGGCTAGCAACATATGGCACCAGAAAATGGTAAATGGTGATAATGGCATAGCAGTGATTATCTAATTGCCGCGGGACTCGACCTTTAGCGTTTCCTCTTTTTTAAAATAAATCAAAAAATTGGTGTTATTTACTAAAAAGATTTAAGTAAAGTGAAAAAAGCCCCATCCAATATGTTTAAATACTGATCGTATCTGCGACTGTGAGAATTGGGGAGGCAAAAAAGCTTTATTTCGTGAAATAAAATTCGACTAAAACTCAAACGACAAAAGAGCATTCGGAAATCGTTTGCGAAGTCCTACCAAGGATGATTCAAAGCACCTTCATTTACTAATTTGAATTACCAAAATTCTGAAGAACAACTTCGTTTTTCTCCAATAAGCTTGCTGTTTGTGACTCGCACGGAGTCCGATGCTTCATCTACACCTGTCACACACATACTTCAGCGATACACATTCAGCTCTACTTTCCCGCTCATGAGCTCATGACGATGGCTCAACAAACTTGCAACCACTATAAACTTTAAGCCACTGGCACATAGTCCGAGCCTCCATTTCGCCCGACAACAATCAGATGGAGTCCGTTGAGCAAACTTTCTCCTGTTCTGATGCCATCAGTCTCGGTCTTCATGCTTGTTTCACATTTCCGCTTACTTGAAATTATTAATTACCGAAATTCCAGGAGACGACAACAATCTGGACGGGTTTGTCGAGCTTGCAGGCGGGGTATCGGTGCTCGGGAATCTTGTCAGCAATTCAATTAGTGGGCGCTTGCATTTATCTTATTTAAATGCAGCATACTTTCGGGGATGGGCGAGTGTGTTTGGGCTGGTGAGTGCGCTGGTATTGGTGTCGTCATGGAAACGACAAGGACTCGAAGGACTAGAGACGAACTCGTGACTTATGCAGTGACGCAACCAATTACGGCTTGGGGGCAACTGTAACTGCAACTGCTGTCTCGCCGCCGTCTTCCTCACACCATCTCCGCCTTTATCCTCCGTCCTCGGTGGGCATGTGGGTGTGAGCTGCGGTTGACTGTGTCTGCTCGGTGTCTGCCTCTACCCCAATATTCCCTCAAAAACTATGTCAAGCGGAACTCTATGCGACACTCCATATTAGGCTAGTGTGCTTGCCGGCGGGGAATGCGTTTTTTGGGCTAACTACGGCTGATAAGTCGTCAGTGCACTTCAGCAGCGATGCTTAGAAGTTTCTTAATTAAATACGACGCCAGGTAGGCAGCCAATCATCTCGTAGTGGCCACGGGTAATTGAAGTCGAGATCTGACATCGCTGCTGTTGTTGACACCGAGGGCGCAAAGTGTCAGCAAAGTTGAAAATCTAATAGTGAACTGCAGGAAAGCGATCAAGTTTTTTAAATTGATGTACACAGAAATATAAAATATAATAAATATAAAGAAGGTGTCACCCTGTTACCCACTTTCAAAATAGCTACCTTAACAGAAACTTACGCCATCTGTTGGTAGATTTATGTATTTGGAACCTGTTTACTAACAGAGAGCGGACAGAGGTACGATTTAAACTCACTTTCTAGATTAGTTGGTATTGTCAAAATGTATGTAATGATTGATTGATGAAGACCTTGAATATTGTCGAGGAAGGGAACATTACTAATATATTTTCGAGCTCATCCGGAATAAGAGTGACACTTTGGTGAAGCAGACTGAAGAATTTAACTGACAAAACTTCTTCCCGAGCTACATTACTTAACTAAATTGGCTCAATACTCCATTTGCAGAAGGTTTTCTCATTTTATTTTTCCCTCTCAGATTCACCTTTCGATTGGGGGTTACTTATCTGATTTGTTTGCGGTTGTGCTGTGCGTGAGCTGCCAACGAGCTGAAGACGTCAATGAAGAAGGGGCCATGATGGGGTGGATAGATTGTCAATGACTTTTGATTCTGTCTGGCTGCTTCACTCGTCCTAATTAGTTAAAATCGCAACAGATCAGAGTGGGCCTTAGCATTGGAGCTGTCGGGCTTAACACATATTTACTTACATTTTCCAGACATCAAGGAATCATTATATTTTCATTTCACTGTAATACCCAGAACATTGAGAGGGAGGCTAAGTATATAGGAGGTTTTCCAAGAGCCTTTGTTGTGCATTTCAGGAATCACCAGAGTTTTCGGTAAGTTTTGTGCCCTTCAAGGGCCTTCGTGCTGCAATTACCTTTAGATTGATGTCGGTATACGATCTCACAAAAAGATTTTATTCGGGAAACAGCAAAATAATCAGTTCAATTTGACGGTTCATTGATTAAAAACAATCCCCTGAGGCCTCGCCCGCCACTGCCGTCATATTCATACACTTAATTAAATTTGCGGCTGGCGAAAGTGAAATGTAACGACATTCGACTGCGGAGCGTGAAATGTTTGTTATGAGTGTAAACAACGTTTTATATATTTTCAAATGAAAGTAGACTCGCCCGGCTGCAACCCCGTCAGTCGGTCAGTGGTCACACATGGCGGATGAAATATACGCCGCATTGGCCACAGGTAAAATTGTCACGTTTTTAATTAAACGAGCGCCCAAAGACCAACAACAACCAGCGAGCAATCGGCCAATAATCAATGGCCTGGCTGTGACAGTAACACGGCTAAAAAATATGATTATAATTAAAAGTAAAACTTTTATTGGATGCGTGCATGAAATGTGTAACCAAAATGTAGCACTGTGGCTGCACCACTTGTTGGAGTTTCTTTAGTCACTGCAACAGTTAGGGTCATCGATTTACGAAACAATGTTCTTTAATTCAAAATTGTAATAGCAGGGGTTAAATCGATACCTCTTTTTAGTACTGGTGAACTGATTCATTGGGGTAAGAGGATTAAAACATTACTGATTTAGTATTTTCTCTTTTATTAATCGATCAACGCCAGAAATTCACAATTTATCTCCTTCCTTATCGTCGCTCTTCCGTCAGCGAGATATATGAATGCACATGCATTCGATCTCTTAAGCTAATACACATGGCCGAAAGGGGTAACCTATAAGCTTACAGTTATTCTGTTCTATTCTGTTGTACAGTGGGTCTTGTAAGTATATTCTTGGTATTATGTGACACAGTGGGCCTTATAAGTATGTGTCCTCCCCATTAGTTAGATAAAAGAACTTGAATACATCTGATGTTCCGGTGGGGCAAATGAAAGGATTTGAAAAGAAACTTATTCACAAATATTTTAGAAAGTTTCCAGAGACGCGTCGTCAGTCTTTTAATTGAGCCACTCCACTATGGAATTTTTGACTAGATTCTCTGGCCAAAATTCATATCTCAAAAACTAAGCAAGATGTTTAGATTCTGTTTTTGATTTGAGTTCATATTACCAATAGATTTCAGATATATCACTTCCCACAACTTCAAAATCAGATACTCAAAAACTAAGTAAGTTGGCGCCGTCTTTTATCCAAAATCCAATTTATTTTGCGAATTCGGTTGTTAGACTACGTACACGAGTTTTTCCAACATTAGACAAACACAAAAACATAACACAAGCCACACTGGTAAGAACCGATTTCCAATTTTTTAATTATGTTCCCTAATTTTTCACTTTTTACGATTTTAAAAATGATTTCCAATCCTAATATTACGCGAGCTTGTAAATATAAACAGCAACAGCTGTATTCATCAGCCTGATTTCTTGGCAGTGGCCCCATCTATTATAATTTATGTTATGTAACACTTAAAACTAATCTATTGTCCATGCAATTCAGTTAAAATTATTTGAATTTTTTCACATAGTGTCAGAGGCAATCACATAGTTGAGTAATATTAATTTCCGAGCACAAGGGTGTCGGGGCTCTAAAATATTTTAAAATTGGGGCGGCTTTAAAAACATTATCATTTGACCTGATTCCCGGAATAGAACAGTGAGCCAATAATAGATGGCACACGCAAGCCACACACCCAGCCACGCCCACTTTTTGACAAGTAGTTTGGCAGCTCGTTGGAAAAAGGGCCGACTTGATTGTGTCACCCACCTTTCTGATTCCATTTAAGAGCCAAGACATGGCAAGATGGCAACCGACGATACAACAATTAGCGACGTACAAAATCATTTCATTGTGTTTGTCAAACGCTGCGACCGAAAGCGCCTACAAGCCAGCTACGATAAGTTTTTATTACACCTGAGTGGGGCCCTCATGTGAGCTGGTCCGTGTCTCCGTGTGTGTGTCGAGACTCATTAAAAACGAACGAGACGCTCATTACCTGGCCGAGAGCAGAAATGGAATACCGACACGATGGCCCACATGGACAACAAACGATTTTCGAGCCCGCTTTACGCTCAAACACCCAACAGCTCCCAACAAAGAGGAGGGGTGCGGGATGAGTGTGTGGTGTAGGGTTTTAATTACCTTCGGTTTCACCCTCCTCGCCGCCGTTCGACTCGTTGTTTAAGTAATTGTTTGTCATTAGTTAAAATGTTTTCATTTCGCTTCGGATCCGAGCTCGGCCTGGCCATGTGAGTTCATCTTGCGCAGTCAGGATGTCGAATTTGTTAAATGTCACGCCAGAAATTCGATCGTGACTTGTGGCTTTAATTATTTCTGTTTCGATTTAAAATTTAACGAGTCTCAGAAAGGTGTTGTCTTGTAAACCAGTAATACCAGCAGATGTGTAGAATATATTTTAATATAAAAGCTCATAATGAGTACGCTCCTTCGGGTTGTGGGCCAAATAGTTTCCGGGATTTTAGCGTTTATTTGGATATTCATGATTAAGATAAGTTTGCATATAGTAAATGATTAATTTATCCAAAAGACTTATTCTGATTTCAAGGTTTCGTGTATTATTCGGACAATAGAATTCAGATCTATTCTCCCCTTTTTAACCCATCTTGGGGATCTATGGATACATCCTATTGCTCTTTGATCGAGTTGAAACTATTGCGGTAAAGGCACTTATTCAATGAGGTCGCATTGACAAGCGTTTTACACTCACTTTAATTCAATTATAAGTCCTGAAATGTTTTTTTTTTAAAAAGGGTAATCGAATGTTTTCCTTGCAGGTCAGTCCCCTTCCCTTTTTGTTTTAGCCGGGCCAAGCAATCTGGGCATAAAGCCTCACCACGTATTCACAACTCATCCGTCAACAGTCTACAGACACTCGGCCGACACAACAAGGCGTCTCGACAAATCGAGAGAAATCCCTTATTCCATCCATTTATTCTGGTCAATCCTCCACAGACTGACGGAATGGCCTTTGTAGCACGCAGGAGTAGCGATGGCACAGTGGTAGATCATCAGCAGGTGTCCGGTCGGCGCGCCGTGCGTCCGCTGACCTTGTCGGACATTAGTGACGAAGATTCGGAGACGGTGCTGGGCTATACGAACCGAACCTACGTGGCTCCCACCGTGAGGCTCTTGAGTCAGGGAGACGGAGAGACTGAGATCGATGACGTGGTGGAACCTAAGCCCAAGACTGAGGACCAGGCCGAAGAGGATTCGGATGTAGATAATCTATTTGAAGACTCTCTGGAGGATCACGCTGACATCTCGGACAGTGAGACGGATTCAATCCGAAACTTTTGCAATGAACTAGAAGAGGAGGAGGCCAACGACGCCTTGCGCAGTGAGATGATGAACTTTACGGACGAGGACTCGGAAGATTTGGCTGCAGAAGCCTCGAAGACTCAGAGAAGCATGGGAAAAGAGGATGAAGCGTCTGCCACGGATACTGAGACTGTTATGAACTTTGACCAGGATATTCGGAGCCTGAGCTCCTTTGACAGCTGCACACCAACGGTGACGCTGGGCACAGAGGATCTTGACAATTTGGATAATCTCAGCGGCAAGACCTTCTTCAAGGAGGACGTGCTGGACGATATCAGCAGCAAAACCTCTTCGAAGCAGAGCAATGAGGACGGCCTCAGCAGAAGGACTTTTACTATGAAGTCTGCCACCAAGGAAGTGTCCTCCAACTTGGGATCGGATCTCGAATCGGACCAGGGCCAGATGTCTAGTCGAACCTACGACTTAAGCTACCGGGGCAGTAACCGGGGGAGCAACCGCGGCAGCATCCGCGGCAGCGAGCGGGGCAGTAACCGCCTTCACGACGGCTCCTCGTTGTCCACCTGTAGCTGGTCTGAGATGTACGGTGGGGCCCTGCAGCAATCTAATGGGCGCAGCAACATCGTCCCCTCTCTAAGCCTGGCCAGCGCCACCTCGGAAACGTCCACTTTCTACAAGAGCATAGAGAACAAGGAACGCCAGGGCAAAGCTGCTTTTGAGGACTGGATAGCGCGGAAGGCGGCTCAGAAGCAGAAGAATCTGCTGGCTGCCAAGCAGGAGCGGGAGAAACGGGAGGCAGAGGCGGCCCTGCGTCAAAAGCTTTCCCAGGAACGCTTTCAGGAGTGGTGCCGCCGCAAGGAGCAGCAGCAGCAGAAGGATCAGCAGCAACATCTACGGAAGAAGACCTCCACCACCAGCCAGTCGAGCTCGGGAAACTTCTCGACCTCGAGCTCCATTTCCGGATACGGATCTAGTACAGGGTCCGGTCCAAGCACCGGTCCTGTAAGATTGCTGCCGCCTGAGGTCACTAAGAAACGGATCCTGGAGTGGCAGCGCGTCAAGAACGAGCAGCAGCAGACCGAAAGGGAGCGCCAGCGAAGGCTGCGAGATAGCAAGCAGAAGCAGGAGGAGGATCGCAAGCAGCGCTCGCAAGGCGCCTGGAAGAATTGGATGAAGCAGGTGGACAAGAGGGCCAAGCCGGTACCCCTGAATCAGGGCTTCGACTCTCTGCGAGGCACCATTTCCAACATCTACATAAATCCCGTCCAGTGGGTGTCCAACATAGACCCGCAGGAATCGGGTCGCAGTCGTTAAGGTTATTTCTGTAATTTTTACGTTCGTTAGTCCATCGTCCATTCAAGCTGAGATGCCCGATGAAGGAACTGGGAAGACTGGTCGGAAATTTCTGGAGGAATCACAATGGTTGCTGGGCCAGCCAAAAAGACAATTTCCATAAACCCATATTTGTTATCTGGATAGTGGCGGTGGATCCCACATTGTTTTAGCTTATTAACTCAACCAATAAACCACGAGATCAAGATCTTTAATTAAGGCCCTCATTCTCTGACTAATATGGTATGTTGTCCCCCATTACTTTTTATTCCCTTAAGGACTCGGACTGAATTCTTTGTTTTTTCCTCTTTCATGCGGATGCATTACAAGGTATTAGCAACCCCAATCTTTAATCCCTATCGATAACAGATCAATACATTTGCTAGCTAATGCAGCACTTTATTCGGAATCATTCTGTCAATATTACTTTTTCACAAGTTTCTTGTAGTACCCTTTTAACGCAATTTATCAATGCAATGCCCCTGCAACGGAATGAATAAGCTATCGAAGTCGGCTAAAGTATATAAATATTACATTTTGACTACAGATTCCATTTAAACGTGATCAGTTTCCGATTAATCAGACTTCCAATATCAATAAACCCCAAGATCGAAAGGTGCCTGTTTATGGTTAGATCAGAAAACATTATGCTTTTCTCAAGCCCCTACTACATACACACGTGGCATGCCTTCGAGAGGGAAAAAAACCTTCCAGATTGTTTTTGATAGCTAAGGATGTGCAAACCAAAAATATTACCATTAATCATAATCATTGACATTGTCAAAAAGTGTTATTGGTGTCAGTTATTGATGATACAAGCAACATCTAAAAATGAAAAATAAAATGTTTGCTGGTTGTTTGCATATTCCCCCATCATCCGCAGGTCACCACGACGCTTACACGTATGTATACACCGAATTCGTATTCACCTTAATTGGTTATTTTCTTTTCCACTCCAGCAAATACTTATATTATTCGTTGTTAATACAGCTCAAAGAGCCAGTTTATCGTTTTTTAGGACACTTTTGCATCGAAGTTTTTATAAAGCTTGCATTAGAGTAAAATAGTTGTAGTATTTGTAGTAGTTGTCGTATTCATTGAAAAGGAGTTGGTAAACAGATATAAATAACCTTGATCAGGATGAATAGCCGAGTGACCATGTCCATAACTATTGAAATCTCCTGCACCATAAAGCTGGAAGGAACTCACTTCAAGAAAACTTAGTTCGATGAGTGACGACAATTAGAGAACACGGAACAGAAGCCCACCAGTTTGAATGAAACATTCAAGAGTTTAAGCCGGGTCAAAAATAAATCACATTTTGAAGTCAATAGTTACTAATAATATAACCCTTGGACAAAAAACACAAATGAGTGTGTGTGCTTTTTCCCACACACCCGAAAATGGCAATTAAAATTGTTTAAGTGGCGACCACGGGGAGCTCATATAAGTGGATAGTGGCCTGTGGCACCACTTAACGTACCCATGGAAGGTTCATAAAAGCCCAGCTCAATGCGTCCCATGGAAGAAACTTAAAACGATAACCTCGGGCCGGGTCTGTTATGGTTATATCGCACACCCCACCCAGCCAGGGTCTGCGGACACTGCACTTCCTTGTTGGCCACTTCGTTCTTGGGTTTTGTGAGCCATGGCCATGGTGTTTGTTTCATTGGCCACCCCCCTTGTGTCAATTTGTGTTTTTATTATTTATTTGCCAGATCCACGGGGAGTCGGCAGGTGGTGTAGCAGGCTTAATTAAGCTTTTCCACCCACCCGGCCGTCAGAGTTTTATTTATGCAATTAACCAAAGCCTCGTGTAATATGGTCCCGTTAGGTAAAAATCTTTGATTAATTGTAGTTTTGTTTACACGAAGCGAGAGCGAGTCTGAAATGATTATGGGGGCTATCTGACAGGGTCCAAGGGGCCCTCGCCTTGGGCCATTTGTGGGTGTGTTGAATGGTTAGGCCAGGGAGGGGGCTCAGGTGATTAGTCCTTTAGTTAGCTGGCAATTTGTTTACACGTTTTGTGAGCTCCTCTAATCGGTTTCAGGCCTCTCGTCATTAGCACTATCATTACTTTGCGGGGCCCTGATAATGATTTCGCTTCCAAGCGCCTTCCTCTGAGATATGTCTCTCTCGAATGGGACTTATTTGGCTAATTGTTGGCGATCTGATAAATAATTAGACGCTTTTGTAGCTCGTCAATTGAAACAAGTAGTTCCATTAACATTTCACTGATTCACTCGATTCCAATGAGTTTGTTAATAGGAGCTGCTGGCTTGGGTTTCCAGTCGGATTACTCATATGCCTGCAACTTTGTGAGGGCCACAAATCGCTGCTCTTTTTGCTTTGCCCAACTGCGGGCATTTCTGTTCTCTTTCCTTGCAAGGCTATAAACTTTAACAGGAAATCGTAAAACTTAGGGACAACTGCTAAATGGGGCCCTGCTCATATGAGAATGGCGTAATCACGGATGGGACAATGACACAGCGCTCATGCCGGCACAGATTTTTACGACAGCCCATAAATTAGCGAACCATTTTCGACGAGAGATTGCAGACAGCGGCCTTTGCCTGCAAATGTTTAAAATTATTTGCAAAGCATTTAAACAACAATTAAGGGCACGCACGCAGCCACAAACAATATAAAACAATTATTGTAAAACGAAATCCAGAATGCGGATTAGCGCAGTTTTGCGGGATCGGAGCGTTCGCTCGCTTTAAATGCAAATCAAAGGCACAAAAAATGGAACGAAAGCAAAAGCGAAAGCTTGCCAATAATTATCATAAATACCCACTGAAAATGTTTCGAAATGATTTCGCACCGCAATTCGGAGGGAACAAAAGAAAATTAATAATAAATCTCAAAATGCTCATTAACTTAATTACTGTGTTTATTTTCATTGCCCTTCCTGTTCACCATTGAGTCCGCTCTCCCCAAGTCTCGATTCCCCCTCCCGACGCTTTGTATGTCGAAATGCTTTTCTTTTGTGCGTCACGCAATTTTCGGGACCCTCAGTTGATAAACAACTCAGCGCTGAAAAAATAGCCGCGGAACATGAAGAAATTGCGCGTCTTTAACCTTAATGTGTATTTAAGTAATGTTAATTGTACTCAGCCCTGCCAGATGCCATTCGCTGCCGACGGCTGGCGCCACTGCTCGAAGACCTCCGCCCCTTAGCCAAATACTTGTAATTATGCTAATATAAGTTTGCTCCGGGTAGCGTATCTAAACTCGTGTAATTGCTTACTCCAAATTGAATATCCCAGAGTTAGGTCTGAGAAGGTGAGAAATATGAAACGAATAATCCAGGAATTAAATATCCTCAGGGTGCAGCTTCTTTCCCGCCGATTGGTGGTGATCAGGAATACATCGTGTTGCATTATTGTTTAATACATATATTTCTATAATATGTTGGTCAATGTTGTATTGTCTTTAAGTTAATTGGTACACACATATTAAGTCCATATTCATGAGCTGCAAAAATATACTTCATAACTCTAGATGTGCGTTCAAGAACAAAGTAGTTGTTCCGACGTTTACATTATTTTTGATTATCTGCGATATCAGCTAGTTACTGAATGGTTATATTGACCCGAATCATGATGCAGAGATAGTATATGTGTTTTTTCCAGAGTCGAAACAGTGTTCTTTAGACGTAAGCGAAGTAAAGAATAACAAGACTATGAAGCCTATTCAAGGATGTTAAAGTAGTGCCGTTGTAGTTTGCCGATGGCTCACTGACTACGAATCGAATTTTTGGATATTTAGTTAATAACAATATTACGGCTCACTGCGAATCATATTCACTTTTCTTTATTGTGGTTAAAGCTCGCCTATACTCGCTTCGAAGTTAAAGAGAGAGTGGGAGTCCACTCAACAGCTTTGAATGCCTGCCATGCAAGAGAACTGTGTTCTGTATCACATATTTGGGCAAGCAGCAGGGTGCATAACATTTTGACATTATTAAAATCGAAAATATTTGGGTCATTTGGGCAATGGCTCCGGTTAACGTTACCCAATCGCTGGCGAGGTAAATGCATATTTACAGCACTTTAACCTTGAGATTTATATGGATTATATGCAAAAATGTCTGTCAGATATGCCCATGGGTCATGGCACTCCGCCACTCGGGCAGGAAAACCCATGCGAGAGAAAAATCCATGAAAATGCACTAAAAAGAGGCAAACAAGCAGCTCACGTAAGCCGAATGGTGCTGCGGTTGCACCTGTTTTGGCATGTCTGAAAATTCCTGGAAACAAATGTAATAAAAACTAGCCGTAGTACACACGCACACACACCGACAGGGCAGCACACTCACTCACACTGGCATTCACACCGACTGGAAAGGGCTTTTATTAGCCTGAGCTTTTTGAAGAGTTTTCCGAGTTGTATTTTCTAATTTTGGCTTTGCTTGGATGGTTTGGTTTTGCGTGTTAGCCAGCACTTAAAGATCTCTTAATGAAAGCTATTTTTTGTTTTATTTCAAATTTGTAGCCGCTTTTAATTTGCTTTTTTAGTGCCCCGTTAGATGTATTTGTAATTTATGCTCTTCCTAAGACTTTTCTATGATTTAAAACGACTTTAAAGTCTCAGCCTTACTCCAACAGCCTTGTTAATGTGTTGCCTACCAGTGGTAGACGATACCTCAACGGGCCGCATAAACTATCTGCTGGTTGTTGTCGAAACTGGCACTTGTAACCAGTTGGACGGCGGAGAGTTACGCAAGGTGAGGACCAGAAGTCGCGGCGTCAGCTTCGGGTGATTGCGATAGGAAATGAGCAACAGTTCTTGAATGCTCTCAGACTGAGACTGAATTTTTGAACAAGCTTAACGGTCACCACACTCTACCTAAGCTAACAAAAGAGATTGTAAGGAATTAATGGATTCATGAGTCAGCTAACTTCGTTGGGCCAGCAGTCGTTCCATCTAATACTAAAGGCTTCTAATTAGTACTCTTTTGAGTATTAGATGTACCGTGTACTTACCAGAATCCATGGAAACAGTTGTACAAATCGGGATTTAAAGACGTTTCTTAACACATTAATGTTAAACTTTTATTCATTTTATAAATATTCCTGTCGCCTCTTCCGTTTGCTTACACTGCCATGTACATGTGATGCTTACAGATACTCGTTAATATGGTTAGTTGATAAGTTGGTGTTAGTGTATGTATGTGTATTTAATAGCGATATAAACATAACGGATATAGTTTGCTTTTTTAACAATTTCATTTGTCTGTTTCATATACATTTAGCTATATTAAATGGAGCTTTATCCGCACTTAATCGTGGAATTAATTCGCGCATTAAATTTACCGCCTGCATAGAGTTTAAACAACTGAAATGCATATTAGTTTTGCTTTTGTTTATTTATATTGATTGTTGGTTGAAACTAAACCCGAAAGAAAGGTATTCAGTTTTCGTTAATTTCAGAAAGTTCAGTAAATGATATGTATTCGTTAATGAAGTTGAATATCGTTAAACATTGGAATTGCTAATTGCTGTTTAATATTTCAGGAGTGAAGCAATGAAGCGAGGCAATGAACGAAATTAAAAGTGAAGATTTATTGATGGTTAAAGTTTTGAGAAACACAGCCAGCTGCTGAGCTAATAAATATATAATCTTGATTTTTTACATTAAAGCTGTTCAGCTTTTGGCGGATATTTACTTCTGTCTGTAGTTCTCCGAAATATCTTTGTATATCGAATCGGGTAGCTTTTCCTATATACTCCTTTAACTGCGTTTTTAGTTTTGCATATTTTCCTGTTTCCTTTATCGAAGACTTTCACCAACTCTTTGGAAAGTAAAGGTTGCGATATTTACCTCTTACTGCCCACATCCGGTTTATACAAACTTTATAATACATAGCCCCTTGCTAACCTGCCAACTCCACCTCATTTACCTGCTAGAGTTATACAAAAACCAATATTGCAATACGTCTATATACATGTGCCGTTCTCGATTTGCGATCTGCGATACTTTACAAAGGTTGCACTGGCGGCTAAACTTGAACCTCCACTAGAATCCAACAGCGCGACTGGGAGCTAGGAAGCCTGGTTTACTTACTTGCTACAGATGCGCCTTAACTCGCTCCGCATCGTGGACTTGATATATGTAATTCCGCGTTGACAAACTTTAACTAAAAGCAGCCACAACGAGCCATAAATCAGTACCAAGCAGCGTTTGGCATTGGCGAACTCAATCATCATTGCACTGCCACTGGCACAGCCACTACCACTGCCGCAGACCGTAGTTTCTGCTGCAGCTCCATCTCCTGCTGCAAGCTCAGATTTAGCACTGACTCCATGTCCATGTCAACTCGGCGTCTGTGTCAAACATGCGTCAGTGTTTGCGGCGGCGGTGTCATCTGAGTTGTCCGCAGCCCTTCCGCCGACGAAAGTGCCAGTGCCATTGCCAGTGCCACTGCCACTGCCACTGGCAGAAGTAACAGTCCGCCGAGGTCCTGCCGCCGAGTCCCGGCTGCGGACGATCCGTAAATGCTGTCAATGCTCTCCGAACTCAGACTCAAATCGGCTGCGGGAGGAGGAGAGACTCGTATGTTAATGGGATAGCTGGGCAACAGCGGAAATTGGATAAGGCTTTGAGTGAACTGATTAGCTGGCCTGGCTGGGGGAACAAGCTTGCCCTGCTGTGAAATAGGTCCAGTCTTAGATTTTAGGATTGGTAATTTCCTTTTTTAGCTGGTGTAAAGTTTTAGAATAGAATCGAATCATTTTATTTAACTTCTCCTGCCCTGCCACTTATTAAATCAATAAAAAACGCGAGGCCGGGGATCTCAACTCTCGGCCAGCAACGACCAGAAAGAATTTATTTGATTGTGGCAGAGTGTTTACAAATCATTAAATTGCCATAAAGCCAAGCCGAGCGTGTTTATTGATATACAATTATTCCTAAGACCCGAAAAAAGTGAAACTTTTACCTGCTACCTGCCCCAAAAAGTGTGCTATGATTTCGCTGTTTGCTCAGTCCGCCGATGTCCCCCGCCCACTCTTTTGTGGGTCTCTCTCCTTCTCAAATTAGTGTGAAAATCTGTTGAACGGCGAGTGGCATGGGGCATAGGGATTGGTCCCCTTTTCATGGCTTTCGTCCCGTCTCAAGTGGCCTGTTAAGCTGGACCCAAACCGCAGGGCAAATGCTTGAAATATGGCCCATAACCCTAATCGGCACGCCGCACTCGCCGCACTCTCTCGTTTTTGCCTTTCCCTTAGTTACTTACCTTTTCTTTTTCCCGGATTTTCCATGTCCTCGCCGCTGTGCTCCTGCGCCCTGGCCGGATGATGCGCCTCGGAGCCTTTCGTCCGCTTCTTGCCTGTGCAACGAGAAATCATTGGGTTGGGGTTAAGTTTATTAGGACACCGCTCCACAGGAGCGGAGTTTCTTTCTTTAAATTACTGCCCGAAAAGATTCGCACTCACAATGCATATTCATAATAGACCTGCCACTGTTTGCTGCCCGTCAGAGCTCGGCTTTCACCTCTTACCTAAGAGTTCGCTGCTCCCACTCCCAAAATTGTCACTTTGACCTCAACAGCGCCACAGCTTCCCAGCCTTTCTACTTCCACTCGTCTGCCAGGGCTCACCTGATCCGTGGCGTTGACGATTTGAAACGGATTTGCATGGCATATGAATTATTTATGCGTTTTTTTCCCGCCTTCTACTTTTTCTCCCAGCTTTATATTTCCCATGATTCCCGCCTGCCGTCCGGGCCAAGTTGAATGTTTCCAGCTCATCTTAAATTTATGCCAAGTGGCTATTAAATTTTTCCTTTCGCGCCCCCTGTCTCGTTTATTCCACGTCTTGGTGTTTGGTAGCCCTGCTCTCCTTGCTTCAGGACTCGTGCACATACCTCACAGCAAAGTAGTGCCCAAATATTGTTGGATTGTTCTATGTTTTGGGTTTTGTATGCTCACCTTTGTGCCGCGCCTCAAAGTTCTCCACATAGTTAACGGCGTTCGGGGGTATTCCTGTTTGGGATTAAACTCCATTTCTCACTGCACTGAACTGTAATGGGTTCTTAGAACTACTTACTGTACAGCTTAATTGTGCCATCCGTGTCGCCCAGGGAGTTCTTCGCCACGCAGCGGTACGAGCCGAACTCGGCCTGGGTAAGGGGATTTATATGGAGCCGCATCGAATTGCGATAGCCCCCCATTTCCGTGACATTGGCGGAGTACTTGCCACCTGCAATGAGCGAGGGTTTGATTTCTGAGTTAATATTTCATTAAAATAATAAACTAATTAATATTTAATTGAAATTTTGCGTTATTTAATAATTAAATGCATGTCACGCGCACATCGACCGTAAGTACGGGCGGGCAAAAGTTTCAACAATGTTGCTGACAGGCATAAATTTATGCACGAACTCATGTCACACCGGAGGCCTGATCATGGGGCTGCGGGGCGGTGCGAGTGGGGATGATTCGGTTTTTCTGGTGTCAATTAAAATCTGCCAGAAACAAAATTGTAAATTAATTTAATTTCCAGTTATGACAACGGCTGTGCATCCAGCAATCCGACGATCCAAGAAATCCAAGCCACTACTGCCTCGAGCCATCGCACTTGCCGCTTTTACCGCCAGTCGGGAAACCACAGGACTGCGGTCCTGTCTGGAGAGTAGTTCCGTGTTAGTGCCCGACTAAATCAGCTAATTAACAACTTTTTGGTGTGTCTGCGTCTGTCGCGAGGAGTTTTCCACTCGGCGGTCATCCGTTTGTTAGCTACTCGTGTGCTCCGCAGGGAAAGCTGTGACTTTTCCTCCAAGGGATTGGTCGGGAGTCTGATTTGGCTTCGGGCTTAGTGCTAATGTGCTAATGTGCTCGTCACGGTTTATGACCTTTTAAATGTCCCTTAGCATTTAGTGACTGTCATGTGCCAAAATGGTCGCACTCAATGCAAATAGTTAACTTAATCTGCGAAGCGATAGTTTCAAGTCTAAATGCATATACAAATTTGATTTTGTTTTGACTTTACTTTTAAATTGACTAATAAAATAGACAACTAGGCTCTCTTTTCAGGTCAGTGACCTCTTACCTGGTGGCACGATCTCCCCGCGTTCCCTGGTCCAGTAATTGATGGACTTGGGATAGGCCTCCGACTCGCAGTCCAAAGTGACTCCCTTCCCCTCCACGGCTCCAATCAGTTGGTTCTGCACAGTGATCATCGGTGGGACTGGAATCGGATATTCATATTTTTGGGCCTATATGAATAAACTAACGTGGTTCCGAGTACTCACAGTGCACGACAAGGGTTATCCGCTTGCTCACCGAGGGCGGAACTCCGTTGGAGGCAATGCACAGGTAGGCACCCATATGGTGGCGTCGGATGTTGGGTATTACTAGGTCAGTTCCTTCGACACTCATCACTGTAAATGGGACATTTAAAATTATTAATAAACAGAATCTTTGTACCTCTATCAGGGCAGTTTGGGCTAACATACTAGCTATCTGCACTTATCATCAGCCTTGTTTGATTTATAGAAAACTTCCTAAGTTGATTTATGGAAGTAGTAAATCAGTTTGAATATCACTGTCTATACATACTTCAAGTCCTTATTTTATATTAAATACTGAGTTAAATATAGGTTCTTAATGTATTATATAGAACTGCGACCTTGTATTTACATGATCTTCCTGGGTTTCAGCATTCGTTTTGTTTTAATTTTACGTAAATTTCAGATTTTTTGGCCATATTACTGTTGTAGGATGCCTTACTCAAACTTGGCCAATAATCTTTTGATACTGAACTGTTAGACAAGTAATGGATTTGTATATAACAGCAAGAACAGATACAACGTGGTGTTTTTCCTGTCAAATCACTTGAAGACGTAAGTACGATAGATACTAATATTTCGGACAGAGATGGCAAAGATTAAGTTCCTTGTATAGGCAGTTATTTGCCCCTAAAAAGCTATTTGTAGTTACGGTTGTAATTACCTCCCAACATCAAAAGTATGAACAGAACTTTGCCATCGTTGCACGAATAATAACGTGTCTCCAAGCTCGTGACCAAATGTCCGCAGCTCCAACAAAAGTTGCAACACAACAGAACTGTATACACCGTTCAAACATCCTGATATCATAGTGAACCGAGGTTCGCATTATATAATCGGCGTTGAGGCTGGGTAACCCGGCTCCGCCACAGACGGCGATACGGATGATAGTGGCTCTGTTTGGGTGCGCCGGAAGCGGAAGTTCTGGCTAGTTTGCGCTTGATATTGTTAGGTAAAGTTGTGGCACATAATAATATGCTGATTTCTCGTTTATTGATTTGGCCTCTTGGGCCGGGGTCCCCTTGGGCCCAGAAGAGTCGCCTATTAGCCGGACCCACCAGCCAGTTTTTTCGGTGCGGTTCGCGGTTCCGAGGGTTCACAGTGCGGTCATTAAACGTAATGGCCACGAAATACGTGTAATTTTGTTTGAGCCCCGCCACAGCATAAAACTTTACTTCGGTTCGGCCGATTCCATTTTATTTCACAGTGGCGACGAACACGAAACGAAATAATCAAATTTCAAATGAAACAAACTTTGGTCGGGAAAACAAAAGGGGCTTGAAATAATAGGGAAATGTGAATGGAATGGGAAATACTCTTTGGCTGAAAAGCCATGACACTTTCTCCACCGACCCATCGGAGTCTTCCTATAAATGTGGTTCATGTGGAGAGTGTTGCCTGGACCGTAAGTAATTTGGCAACAGATTGTTGTTGGTATTTTTAAGCAATAGTATTTTTGACATTTATTTGTTTTTATTTGGGCTAATACTACCTAAGTCCAAGTGACGGGTATACACATTAAAACGAATACTTAAAGCGAGGGCCATTCGATGGCACGGCCTCACATTATACACTCCCCAGCGCCGGCAAACTTTTTACCGCCCCCTGACTTCCAATCTAGTCTGCCCTCGACTTGAAAACACAGGCACACACGAATGGATCCGGGGAAATGGAAAATGGGCAGTGCAGTCGCCGGACAGGAAGCAGACTCGTTTGGCCGAGAAAGGGCTGAATCGGGAGGGCGGTGGCAGCCATTTAAGCCCCGGCGAAAAGGTCATTTTGCCAGCTTTTTGTTCGCTTTATGCTGATTTTTTGCATCCTCTCATTTAGCCGTATGAGTTTTTCTGCTTTACGTTTCTTGTTCTGGTGCTTTTCAGGTTTTCAAAATTTCGCTTCTCATATCACGTTTTCAGGAATCCAAGGGATCTGTTCTGCAGCTGCTTTGATTTGAGTTCAGTTGAATGAAGCATTTCATTCGGCATTTTTAGATTGGAATAATAAATATCAGTAAGATTAGATAGCTACGATTTCATTCTGTTCCTAGCTTAGCTATCCTAGTTATTGGAATCTTGTTATTTTGTATCCCTTCTTGAGGATTAGCTAATTCACTTTTTAAAAACATAAACTGGTTGAACACATTGTTCAATTTTCGGACCGGTTAACTTTCTAAATTAAGAACTTGGAACTCGCAACTCCTCTCAACTGCAGAACTCTTCAAGGCCAATTAGCAAATCTGGTCCACTCCAACCACCAGTTCGCCACCACCAACGATCGGCCCCTAACCATTTGCTAATTCTGTCAGTCAGACGTCATCATCATCAACGGCAAACAGGCCAACAGCCCAACAGGGGGGTGGGGTTGGGGAAAGCTCTCGCATGCTGGCAACACTGCAGTCTACAGTCTGAGGGTGCAGGTGCAGGTGCCATGGCCACGAAATGGGTATGCCAACCGGACCACCCACCAAAAAGCACCCACCACTCGATAGCCTTGGGCAGGACTCGGCCTAGAGCCACCCTGCAGCTATAACTGCTGATGGCCAACTCGGTTGCCGCTGCCTTTTTGTGTAAAAGTACTCCAAAATGTTGGATGGCAAGCCTCATGCAGGCGGCGGAGTCGGCAACAACAGCAAAGGTACTTACAAATCAGGAGGTTGGGTGCACATGGGGTGGCTCTACTGTACTGTGAGAAACTGGAAGAAATCTATCAGGAAGGAGCGAGCTAGCGCATAAAATATGTGTGGAAAATAAATTTAGAAATGCAAATTAAAACCCGAATTGGATAAACTCTTTTAAAGTCTGTAACTCTCGCTTTTCAAGCTTTTAATGTGTTTCAAATTTGCGAAATTTGTTAGGCTTAATATTGCAGTAGCATTGAGCTCGGATGACCTTTTCTAATCATAGTTACCAGTGCGAACTCCAGTTACAATATTTTTACACAAAGCACATTAGCTAACGTTCCTGCAATAACATATCAGGTGTAAAGGAGGCTGAGGTACCTTCAATGCTGGAATTTATTTGAGATTTCGAATGGCTTATGCTCTGTCTACGTGAATGCAACATTTATTTTTCGATCGTTTCTTTTTTTGTTTATTGAAAATGCATTTAATTTCTTAGATCTCTATTAATTTTTCTATCAACTTATGGATTTTATGACTCTCAAAGTGTAATTCTGAACTTCTGGCTAAAACTGAAACAAGCATGCACGTTCTCAAGAGTGGGCAAAGGTTGTTTGCAGTGTACCAGCCCGTGATAGCACAATGGGAGCCCCGACTTACCCTCCTCTCCGCTGGCCAGCTCGATGGGCACTCCACTTTCACGTCGCCATGTAATTGTCGGCTCTGGCGAACCGGTAGCAGCGCATTTGAGCGTCACGTTACTGCCCTCGCGAACGACCATGTCCGTGCTCGTAGGATAATCTAGGATATCCGGCGGTACTGCAGCCAGCGACAGCAGTCAGCCATCGGCCATTGGACATCGGCCATCGGGTTGCCATCGAGGTCGCCAGACGGTCGTCGTGGTTAGATAATATTTATACCAAACATTAAAAAAGTAATGCAATCCACATGTAAAGAGAAGAGATGGAAAGGGGAAGGCGGGAATTTGAGTATGACCTGCAATCGCTTTAAATATTTTAAAGTTGTAATTTTTCATTTAAATAATTAGCTCTGATTCTCGGATGGCGGCTTGTTCTGCACGGCGGAGGCAGTGATTCATTCCCGACCACCACCAGAGGATATTCCCGCCTGCATTCAACCCTCTGACGAAAAGGGGAGTCCAGTCCTCGCATTTGGCTTTGTTTTAAGGACGAACTTTTCACATGTCCTGAAATACACAAATTATTACAACTGTCGCTGCGGCAAGGACAGCGGGCAGCGGACTGCGGACTGCGGACAGCGGACGGACACCCACAGCGGAAAACCTATGAACCGTGAAAACGTAATAATACCAGGACACGGCGAACGGAGGAGCGCAGGGGCTGGTCCCTGGGTTGTATGCATATAATATCCCGCAATTATGTGGTCGGTAAATGACCAAAAAATGTGCTGGTGTTGACAAACAGCTTGTTAAGCTCGGGAACGAGTGAGTCAGTCTGTGTGCTGGCCGGTGACCACTGGATGGTCATTAAGAGGCCATGGCTGTCCCGGGAGCGGGAAAATGCGGCCCCAAAAAGTTGTTGGGTAGGTGGTGGGTCTGGGATCCCGAAATCCGTTCTGAACTGACGGGAATCAAGGTGGGGCAAGGTTAGTAAGACTTACAGTTAAGGAGCAACGTAAGATTGCCAAGTGACACTTTTATTTGCCCGCAGCTAAACATTTGAACTTGTCAGCGATTCATTTGGTTATAACTCGCAGTTGATCAACTGTGGAAGGTTAAATTTTGGGCTTATGAAGTTTCCATCTCTCTAAATGCCCCGAATGCGCAGGCACGGGGTATAAGCCCATCCTGAATGCGTGGACGTGGATGTGTGGCGGGAACCCAGTAGACTAGGGGAAGCCAATGGAAACCCGAAAAGGTGAGAGCTCTGCCGCTTCCGCCACGGTTTGTCGTCGACTGTTTAACTGCACTCGGTCACGAAAATCATCAAAAGCGACCACCGTTCACCATCCACTCTCCCCTTGTTCGAAACTCGAACGTTTCCCGTGGCCGATTCTCGGCCTCCTTCTGATGTCCCCTCGAAACCGTTTTCAGCGGGTAACAGTGGGCAAATCGGTAAAAGTTTCACATAAAGATTGTTTTATTTCGAATAAAAATAAAATTTAGTTTCAAATTCAAATGGCAAACAATATTTATGGATTCTCATTTGGTTACTCCCACGGGTGCATAACCACTTTCCCTCTTTAACCTTCATGAAACCGTTTTACCTCTTTAAGATTGGCCACTCGTTTTGTCCCACTGTGCACCGCCCGCTGATTATCCAGTGCAAATACACACAGTTGATTATACTTTTTCGTGTTTGCCGGCGAATGCCGCGCCGACTGCAATGGTGGCTAAAATATTTAGCGCTTTGATTTAGATTTGCCAGCGAAAGGTATTTAGGCAGTTCAGCGGTGGAAAGTGGCAAGGGGCAAGCAGGCGGAGGGCAGGGGCACAGGCAGAGGCGGAGGCATAGGCAGGAACAGACCGCAAATGGACAGCCCAAATGTGCCCGGCGAACACTTCATAGGCTGGGAGCATTTCTTACGTAGCCTCTCGCTGTTTCGCCGCCGTTTTAATTCAAAATCAACAATTTCTGCGGTTCAGTGGACGGTTAAACATGTTTAAGCACTCGCAGTGGAGAGTCGCCCATGGCGAGCCCCGTTCGCACAGTTTCCCCTGGTCCTCGGGTTTTAGCCAGTGGAATTTAATAAGCCACGGACTCCATATTCTCTCCTGGGCACGGCAGGAACGCTTTGTTCAGCTCATTTCTTCTTTTTGCATTTAATTTTTTAATATTTTCGTTTCGCGGAGTGCGGTTCGAACAATGGGAGAACCAGACCCGGCAACGAGGCGTATGATTGTTTGACAGCCGAAACGTAATGAGCAAAAAATAAACTTCTGGCAGTTCGCCCTCCACTTACCCACAACATCAAGGTAGCCCATTTGGCTTTTCATCGGGTCCGTGTTGATTTGGCACATGTACCTGAAATATCACCAATTATTATGACGAATCGGGGAATCCACTTAGCGTACGTACCAGCCTTTGTCCGACTCTTTAATATCCTTAATGCGCATTGTCCAGGTCTTGTGCTCTGAGTTGGCGATGCCAATTCGCTGGTTCTTGGTTATAACATGGTTTTGTATGGTGAGGATCGTTTGGGTGTCCACCCGAAGCCACGCCACCTGTTATGTGCATGTTAAAATGGCAATCAAAGAACTGAAAGCTTAAGTTCGACTATAAATACGACTTTAAAGGCCCGTGATGAAGTTCAATGCGACTGATATTGATCCCGTGTAACTTATATCTCAAATCCTGACGGACTTAAATCACTCAAACGGATAGCTGTCACCATCATAAATTCGAATTTTCACCATAGTGAAGTTTTGTTTTAATACCTAAATGATATTCTCTGGAGTGACCGCCGCTAATTTTGATAATTTTAATTTTTTATAAATTTAATTTTTATGCCTCCGAATGATGCAATGACTTTGAACTGTTAGCCAAAAGCATTGTTTAATGCATTTTAAACAACTGTTTTCTTCAAATCGGAGATGTAGATTGAGGATTTTAGAAACTTTCCAGCTCAAAAAGAATTTAAACTCATAGTTTAATATAGAATCGAAATTGGTTTCATTGAGCAACTGTTGGGCGAATGTCGTACCTTTTACCAACAAATAAAGAAACAATCTACGAAGTACACTTGGTTTTTGAATGTCAATTGAACATTATTCAAATCACTTTATTACCTTCCTCCACTTAGGCCAATAATTATGATAGCTTGTGTATGTTTCGGTTACATAAGATTGCTTTATTGATACAGCCATTATCGGCACTTGAAACTCAAAAGGGATATACCGATATACTGAGGGTAATTTCTCTAATTCCTTCCTCTTTCTGATGCTGATTTTTAACCATCTCTAACTAAATCTAAAGTCTTTTCGGTTACATTTTTATTCCTTAGGAGTGTTCGAATATTCATTCGACTTAGTCCGTTCAAACAGGTCTGGAAAAGTGGCAGCGAAGGATTGATTGCACTTTATTTGGCACATTTTATAGTTAAAACCATGTACCTATAATCCACATCTACGATCGTATTCTAGATCAGAACGAACTCTGACATGCTGGCGACTTTAAGATCTAGACAGCTAGACTCTAGAGATGCCTACTACGTCGTTCGAGCTAAAAGTTTCTTTTGATTTGATATGATTTTACAAGACATATTTACTTTGAGTTTGGTTAATCGATTTAAGCATTCCTCTTTGTGTTCGTTCTATATTAATTTATTTATTTGAAAAGGGCTAACAAATAATCAAAATGAGGAGCTAGCGGGGAAATTAGGACCAGCAAGAGCCTTCTATATATGTAATTCTGTTTAAGTAACGATATTTAACATTTCTATTTGAATATAATATAATGGAAAATCGGTTGGCTGGCTGTAATCACATTCCTTAGATATCCCAATCGAGCACGCAGTTGCCGCTGCAGCTCGTCATCATGAACCACACTCCCAAATTGAACATAACTAGCATGCAACGCCGTTCAATTATACACAAAAATTCTATTCCCAGAACTATTCAAGAAATTTTAAGCCGCACGCACACCCTGCCCCAGAGTCCCATGGAGGAGCTCGTAATTGTACAATTACCCAGGTAAATTATTATGCGATAGAGCACGCAGCGCGAAGCTAAAAAGCTGAAATATTCTAAGTACGGGACCAGGAGGCCAACCCTTTGCTTCGACCTTTGCATGTGGAAATGAAGCAGCACAGCTGCCGGGGCCTGGGCCCATTCCACTCGGCCGACATGTCAGCACGTGAAGCTATTTGACTTATTTGTGAAACCGCATATTTTAGTATGCACATAAATAAATTAAATGCCGGCTAATATTCAGTCGCTCCGATCGAAGGCTAATGAATTATTTTCGGCCAAATTGAATTTGGATTTGTTTTGGGTCCCAGGACGCTGTCAGCACAAAGTAAGTAATTACACCCAAGTGCCTGCTCAATTATCTTTGAGCGGAGCATTGCTTAATTGTGCACGGCACTGGCTGGGGTGGCCTTGCCCCGCCTCTCCCCCACTACCTGGGCCCAAACCCAACCTCCGCCGGAGCCCGAACTCGGTTAGCAACCCCAGCGAGGTGAGAGGACAAAGCTTTTCACTTCAATGGAGATCCACTCGTACATTTGCTGGTACCTGGCGGAGGGAGCAGGGCGCAGGGAGGATACGGATACACTGGCTCCCCCAACGGGACAAACGAATGCAAATGCAAACACAAATAAAAACACAGACACCGGGCCCAGGGTGGGAAGGACACGCCACTCCGGACTCGCTTAACACGTCCTCATTCATATTTCAATTACTTTTTATGTGATTTTCGCCTTTGTCATCCTGTAAGCCCGCCATATCCCTATTTATGTTTTTATTTTCACTTTCATTCCGACTGCCATTCAACTCTTGTTGCCCGCTTTTGGGTGTCGAGATTTGGTCTTTGAGATTACACGCCCGTGTCCGGGGATGGTGAAATGTTAATGAATATTAATGCGGCCGGTTTCGGTTTTGTGGCTGCTTATTGAGTGTGTAATTGAGCCCACGGATGCGGATGCGGCCGTGGATGTGGATGTGAATGCGAATGCGGATAAGGATGGGAATGACAGTCCGGACCCGGAACCACATCCAAGCTGATTTGCTAATTTAAGTTCAGTTATTAACGGATTGGCTGCCCCGCACTCACCTTGTAAGGACCCAAGTCCTGGACGACGCACGTTAGGAAGGCATCACGTCCCACGGGCGCTGTCATATTCACAATTGGGGAACTGAATTTGGGATCAACTGTAATAAAGTCAGAGGATATTCGTATGTGATTGGCCAGTAATTGGAATATAATGCGAATGCTGATAGTCTAAGTAATGATTGGGTATTAGGGCGTTAAATATTATTAGCCACGTTTCGGAAACAGCTACTTCTATTCCGTCTTTCAAGGTACTTTTAAAATAAAATAATATATAAAATATCTAATCATCTTTTAAGGAACTTTTAACTTCCGATTTCATTCATCCTCAGCTGTGTTTAGTTCTTCGGAATTTTAAAAAGTTGGTTTGAAGCAATCCATTATATATAGTTGTACTACATCGGAAAATTAGCTTAGCTTTCAATATCCTATACTTTAGATATCTATAAACTGTAGTAGCCTGACCAGCTTTACTTAGTTTTTGTGTGGAACTTTAATCTAAAAGTAACAAAAATATCTGTGAAATTTAAAAGTGTAGAGGCCCTTTGAAGTAGAGGAAAAATGTATATTTTCTCTCCGGCAGAGAGTATGGTATAGAATTAAATAAACTGACTCACCGATTACTTCAGCTGGCACCTCCACCCTCTGGGGATGGCATTGTTGACTCATCAGGATTAAGAGCAGGATAACATTTATCGCACAGGCTTGGGCACGGTACTGGATATAGTTTGTTTGCATTTTGGATATATGCGATTAACTTTCTTGATTGAGCTGGTTAGGGACCGGAAACCATCGAGGTATCTTATCGGGTAATCACTGTAAAGCTATTGGTAAGAAGTCGTGTTCTTCTGATTATTTTGTGGGATTTTATGAAGGAAAGTAAAAATATTGTCCATTATTGACGAAATTGAAATTCAATTTATATACCAGTAGTTGAACTTCAATTCAAGATTTAAGATTTCTTATCACTAACTGTTAGTTTTATAATGTTAAACCATCCAAGGTTTTCATCTTAATTCTTCGATCTGAAAATCTGATGTGATCCCAAAAACTCGGTAAAAATGGTAGCCCAACTTAATGGGGTGTAAAAAGACAAGAAAGAACTGGAAACCCCTCTTTTCCTCTTCCTGATAATCCCAGCACCTGTAACCGCTTGAAAATACGGCTCAGGGTTGAGTGGGCAATATCCGCGCGCCTCGTAATTGGCAGTCATTAGCGCGCCTCTAATGGCATCAACTTCTGGCTATTGCTGTTGCTATTTATGCGTGTAAACAGGCAACAGGGCAAAGTTCAACAGAAAGTACTTGAAAACAGAATCAAAACTACGAAACAATGGCAAACAATAATCGCGATGCCGGTCGAAAATACGCCAAATTAAAAAGTTTCAAGTTTAAACCAGAGCCGGAGGCCCACCGGCCTTTCTCCCCTCAGGACGAATACTGGGCCACCGGGGCGGGCGAAAGACAGAGCTGCCCTCCTTCCTCCGGCTGAAAGCCCTTGCTCTTGGCTTATTTTGCGTGCTCTGGCTGTGTAAATTCTGCAGGCGAACAGCTGCCAGAAATTAACTGCCAACCTGCAACTATCTTCTGGAAAAGGTGTTGCATGCTCTGCCTCTCTGCTCATTTCATTTGAGCTCGCTCGTTTTGTTTCACGGCTTTGCAACGTGGTCGGAGGACGAAACTGTTTACGGAACGGAAATGAAATGTTTCGTTGGCAGCCGCATCGCTGGGAACTCGTAAATAAAGCATCAAATCGTGCATCCGTACGGGCCCCTGATAGGTCTGAAATAGTTGGGTCTTATGGCGCAGTTAAGATAAGTTCACCTCCTCCGTATTTGAGAGCCTTCCAAAGTGACGTGGGCGACAAAAGTTGTGCGGCCAAATGTCCGCCAATGCAGCTGTAATCATACTCATTTTGTTTAGAACTGGAGAGCTTATACTTCATTTCTGTGCAATTTGGTTAGGTTCAAGTAATAACGAGAGAGAAGCCTTAACAACTTTTTTCATTATCCATTATGTATTTTGTAGATTTTATTTTTAGCTTTTGTTACCTTGTGACATTTAATTACAGGGAATGTAAGTAGCACTTTATCACCTCCTAGTTTTTCCAAGGTTATCTGCCCTCAACGATCGATCCAATCCTAAATTATTGTTGTTCCATAAAACTTAAAAGGAGTATTGGCCCAAAAATATATGGGTGACGAGCTCAGAATTCAATATTTTCCAAAGTCCGCCCTTATGATTGGAGAAACTTGATTAACTTTCCAGGTGACTCGGCCTTTAGTCCCGACATAACATGCAAACGATTTTTGGTTTGGAAAAATGAAAGCCTACTTTCTGGCTCCCGCAAACTGACAGGAACCATTTTAAACTGACATTTCATTAAAATTCCTTTTCCCCTCCTCTGAGTTCATATTGATTTTTTCATAATTTAGCGGAATTGAAAGCAAAGTTGCCGGCATGTGTGGTATGTGTCCTTTGTCATACATACACACACATTTAAATCCGCATTGCATGCTCAGAAAAGTAGACTACAAAAGACAACAGGCAAGCGACAGCACTGCAAATGGCTATGGGGGAGGGGTGGGGATGGGCATGGCTAGGGCTATTGGTATGGGGCAAGAATGGCGGTAGGCACTAAAAATGTCTAGCAAATGGGCATGGCAATATTATTAATAATTTAGAGCATGCGGGCCATGTCAGGAGTCGGAGTCAGGGACAGGGACAGGGACAGGTGATGGCTGTGCCTCCAGACCCATAGCCTGACCACAATCCGAAGCCATATCGAGGCGAGTGTGTCGAAAGTCCCTCTTTGCATATTCAATTTTTCCGGTTTCTTTTACATTTGGTGTCGGCTTTTCTGAGTTCCGATTGTTCCGATCATTGATTATTCTTCATGATCGTGACTTTAAGAGTTTCAAAAAAGATTTTCAGGCCTAAAAAAATTAAGAAACATAACATGATACGAAAGCGAACTTAAATAAATAATCGTTGAGCCATCTCCGAAACGCTGAATGGACGTTTATTGTGATACCACTGATCATATTATGATTTGTGAGTTTCTTTTTGTATAATTTCACTGTCTTTAAGTGGAGGGATGAACTGAAATGGGAAAGCGGTTACGTTTTCCTTTATATTCGTGTCCGTTTTCCCTTCTTCTGATTTGTGATTGTGATCAGGTACAAAATAGCAAAAGTATAGGTTTCCGATTTTTGTTATACAAAATTAAATGATAAAAGTACGCAAAGCTCTGTTTTTAACCCATGTATGTGTGCTATGTGTATGTGTGGTTGCAAAATATATAGGCTGGGAAAACACATTGAAAAATTTAAAAAAAAGTGCTTAATAAACAAAGTTTAGATATCATATATTTTTCAGGGAAATGGAGAACTAATCTGCACTCCCATTTAACGTTTGACAAACTCCTTTCAACAAGGCAATGTGTGGAATCAGAAGTTCGTATCGGATGTCTAATATGCGCGTGGTTTGTTTTTCAAACAAATTTTGTAAATTTTATGATTTACAGAAAGCTAATTTACGTAATTTGATTCACACAGACATTGCTGTTCTTCTATTCCTGTTATTTAATATTTGCCTGACAAACGAAACATTGACTGAAAAGGTGATGGTGAGCGGCAAGGGGAAGTGTATTTCCAAATGGCTTGTGATTCCAGGTGACATTCCAATTGCGCTAATCTGGTCCTTAGATCGCTTCAGCGACTTGCTAATCAACGTCCCTTAGCACCAGCGAAGGCAGCAAGGCAAAATATTTATGACAAATAATAAGACCTACTCATGGCAAGTCTGTGGCGTCCGAGTCATATATTATTTTTATGGTTTCGGACATGCACAGTCCCTTTTCCCAAGCTCCAATAAGCCTCTGAATTATGGCGAATTTTCAGCACTTAGCCTCCCTGCTATTTGCATTGTTCGCTATTCCTATGAGTTTTCTTTTAAAGTATCGCTGAAAATAATAATTTTTCACCGAACTTCCTAAGATTAAACTTTCCACCTAAATTCAATTTCCAACGCAAACATTAATTAACACGTGATAAATTTCCACCTATATCGCGATGCAACTTCGACATTTTTCAGATTATTCGACTTCCAGCTTTTTATTTTTTAATCCCGGCCAGAACAGGGGGAGCCCAGTTAGCACGCCCTGCATAAAATTTGCATAACTCATGCCGTTCAGCTGACGGCGCCTTGAAGGCAGCGGTAAGTTGCGCTCCGATTTCCAGAGCTTTCTCCTCCGCTCTCTTTCCAGCCGGAAGTCGATTATTATCGCTTGTTATTAACAACAGCAACAACAACGGCTCGTAAGGCCGGCTCCTCACATGTCGGCCATTATGTCAAGCTGGCCAGAAGGCTGGCATACGGTTTCGATATCGCTCAGAGGCAGTAGGAATTTTTCGAATGCCCCACAGAAATGGACCCGAGCCAACTTGCAGCTGAGAGTGGGGGATAGTGGCTCGGATTAGGGGATTAGACAGAATTGCAGGGGAACAGAGATCCCGGACTTGAGTCAACATGTTTCAATTTCCATAATACACTCCCAGCCACGTGCAACACCAATAATCTGCACATTCGGCCCAGGACAGCTGAAATCACAATCGAGCGGATAACAACTGATCGGGAATTATATGTAAAATGCAAATGATAGAGAAACGCCATAAATCGAAAACAGGCGAGGGCGTCCCCCGGGAAATCACCGGGTGCGGGATGTATTATATCCGGGGCGCCCGAAAGCACTGCAACATATTTGCAACATATTTGCAACAAATGGGCAACAGACACCGCATTTGCATGGCGAGGAGGGCCGGGGCTTAGGCTTGCCCTGCGCTTTATGGATATCAATGAACTTTAAATTACAGTCGGGCAGCCGTGGAACATAAAATATGCAATTGTCGGCGGCCTAAACCGGGCGCTCCTGGCGGACGTGGACACTCGCAATAAACAGAGTCGAGTGGCGGCCCAGACACATTTGTAGGCAAATTTCAGGATACACATCAGGAAAATCAGGGACATCAGGAACACGCATTGCAGCTGGAAAAGCAAATCATGTGGCGACCATTGACCGCCGGGTGGCTCGATTGTTGTTGCTTCATAAATAACTCGGCTTTGTTTTTACTTTAAATATAATTACAGTGAGCACGCAGCTGGCGGCAAATGTCGCCAAAGTCGCGGCTAAATTGCCAACAAGCGGCTAAAAACGCGCGCGACTTGCACGCGACCGCGTTCTACTTGTTGTTGATGAACCCGAAAACTCTGCCAAATATTTGATGGAATGCCTTCAGAGGGTGAAATCCTAGCAAGCGATTAAAAACCTATTTCTAAGTTTTCAAAACTATTTCAGAAGACTGTCAAGGCTGTTTCTGAATGCACTGTTTCTTAGAGGTCTTGTTATCAAGGAAAATTGTTTCGGGTTTCAGGATGTGCAGTGAAAAGTGTGGGGTATCAACCTTATTCAAAGCATTCGATTGCATGCAGGTTAGCCGACTTTCTTTTCTATCGTAACACTGAAAATATTGAGTATTGCCGTGATATTTCGAGAAGTGGGCCAACAATAACCAACTCTTATCGATAAGTTCGCTTAGCACAAGTCACTCATGGCCCTTTCAGCATCACATTGATTCACTTGCAGCACGAATGCAACACTTGGCGGCAAAATACTCGCGATTCCGCCGAGGATTCCGTAGTCTGTGGCAGGATCAGAGGATTCAAGCCAACCGCACGAACCGAAAGTCGTCGAAGTACTGCGGCCACCGATACCGATGGCGACTGCCAGCGACTGCAGGCGAGTGCCGAGCAACTCCGAAGATGCTCCTTTGGCGAATCGTCGTCGTTTTTGGGGCGGGTGGGCGACTGAGTGGGTGGGTGGTGTTTTTTAGTGGGCGGCCGGGGGGTGAGCAGCGGCCTCGCGAACGAATCAGACAACTGTGATTTTTGTTGTTGCTGGGCCACATTTTATTTTGCTTTTTGTTGGCGGGCGCTTTTCAGTTCGTTGTGCTTCTTTTTTCTAGCTTAGGCAGAATGTGTGTGTGTGCGTGCTGCCCAATGGGGGGTGTGCTCTGGGAACTCACCACGATTGACGGGCTCTCAGCTCGGTTGCAACCGGTTGAAAGGCGATTGAAACGGACTCGGCGCTGGGAAATTCTCTCTGCATACTTTTGGGCGCATGGAACTGGAGTCACGCATTTATGAATGAACGCTACTACGTGGCAAAGGGTTAACACGAACTGCTGGGTGAAAACAATGGGCAAGGGAGTGGGTGCTGATAGTAAGTAATTGCGTGCGGTGGAAAAATGAACTGTCATTGGTCGGGCGGTTGATTACGGGATGGGCGGGAGGACTATCAAATGCTTTTTGACGGTTCCGGCGAGGAAGGTAAGCCATTTAGATTAGCTGTGGGATAAACTGATCTTGCATAGTTGATTTCATAATAGTTAGGACTTACAAGCCATAGTAAAGACATTTTTCATTATAGGCTAGCGATTCCTAAATAAATAAACTTTTCCATCCTCGTCAAGACGGTTCAATGCTCATTTAAAAAAAATTATTGAAGCTGTTTTGAAAATAACATCTGGATCGCTATGGTATTTCACTGGTTGTCCCTCACTAATTGATGTTCAAGAATATTCCTAAATTTTTCCCTTGAGTGCGAAATTGATTCGCATCGTATGAAGTTTATTAATAAACAACAACTTAAATCTTTAAATCAAAACTGACCACTATAATTAGAAGCAATGGCTATATGGATTTAGGAAATATTTCAATTTATGATTGCAGAAAGCTTGGAATTGTTTTATTTGTTTAAAACAAATAATTTCTGAACTGCCATTACATCTGACTGGTTTTCTATCATCGTTTAGTTGAGAAACTAAAATTGATTAAAATAATGAAGACAAATCTCAAAAGGCATATTGATGGCCTTTTTCGCTTTTTTCAGCATTAGTGCCTTAGTGTCCTTCTTGCTGACTGTGACATCGGTTAGTTCGATACTAGTTCTAGTAACATATAACTATTTGTGCTATTTGTACTATTTGTGGATGTGTAGTGTACAATGGAATATAAAAGAATACCTGTTGACTTTATAAGGTTATCCCTTTCTGCCATATGTTTTACCATTAAATGTCGAATGCATATCTTTATAGCAAAGGTGCGCAGGGATTCAGGTTTTCGAGTTGAGAAGAAGCGGTTGAATGAAGGAGACATTGTAGACTCATCATGGTACAACCTGCTAGACTAGACTAGACTAGATTATTTCTGAAGTAATTTTGAAGTGACCATAAAACTGTGGTGATTCGATCGGTTTAAGAGTGCTTCCGAGTTTTTCCCCAGTTTTATCATTTAATTAAATTTCACTGCTCAGTAAAATTTTTCTTTTGTGATTTCCATTTTGTCTGGCAAGTGCAACGAGCCAGACCGGGAAGCACCCAGACTTTTACACTGGTGATCCCGCACACGCACACACGCAAGTTGCTTTTCAATAACCGTGCCACATTGTGTCAGGCACTGATTTGAACTAGCCACCTCCCCACCCCAAGTTGTTCATATATATCAGTTGCTTTTCGGGGCTCGGGGCTAATCAACCCCTCCCCCGCTCACCGCGTCCGGATAATAGGCATATAATTTCGCACAACACACGCACACGACCAATAAATAATAATGGCGAAGGGAAAGGCTAGCCCCACCAATAACAGATTCCATGCAGTATAAACAAGAGAAGACGCTATAGTCGAGTGCCGCGACTATAAGATACCCGTTACTGTTTTACACGATTTTAAAATATTCATTTTGCGTGTTGAAACTCCCCAAGCGCCACCTATTGTCGGAGAAAGCATGTTGAGTAACTGATAGTGACGTCACTGCCCCTGTGAGGTATCTTAAATTTCTTCATAAACAGCGAAATAATGTTCCGATTTGAAAAATCAAACGAAGGAATTCATAATAATATTATGGACGGATAAAAACTAGGGGCAAGTTGCTTAATCTGAACTTTCTAACACTTCTAGTTACCGAGATATCAGCTTTTCTAGAAAATGCGAAAACCGTCTTTTGAGCTTGGTGGGCATTTCACAAGGCGTCCTGGTGCCTAGGCCCTGGTCTCTATCTATCCCCTCCTCTCCCAATCAGAAACTTTTCATTGCGTGCCAATGCACTGGAGCCACAAATCATTTCTACAAAAAGGGTTAGCGGTACACCTTGAGAAATATCTTCAGATTCGTTTTGGATTTCCAGTCAGAAGATTACTACTGCAGATAACTATTTTCAGAATAAGGCATCCTTCTTCAAGTTTTAACTAAGTAAGCTGTTTGCTTTGAGAAATTAATGTACCTCCAATAACCGCTAAGGGAAATAAGTAAACTGCTGGTACTTACTGTGATATAGTATCTCCAGAAGATTGAAATCATCTTACTATATAAAAGGATTAAAATTGTTTTCGTATGAACTACTACTTTTCTCAGTATATCAGTGGTGGCGGGACTCCCAACTTAATTTCAAGTTTTTTGTTTTGTTTCCTTTGCCTCGCTTCCTTGTTGGTATCCTTTTCGCTGCTCGGGACTCCCTAATATAAATTTTGACACCTGATAATTGCTTTTCACTCGCTTCCGCGTTTTGTGCTGGATGCGACGACGACAGCTGCAGTTCTTCCACCTGCCAACTACCACCTACCACCCCAGCCGACGAATCACCTGCGCGTCTGAAGCCACCACCGCATTGGGCAGCTCCCCACCCCCTTATGGTGGCTGAACATGCAAAGCTCCCGGAGTAACTGGAGTCGGGAGTATCTGCAGGATAGTTGGTTAGCTGCTTAACTGCCATAAATTATGGCTATATTTTCGCTTTTACGGCGCCGTTTAATAGACAAAAGTTCTTAGTGAGTTATAGACGAAGCGTCAAGGTTGCCAGCCAGCTTAGGAAATTGCCAATTAAAAGTCCATAAAAGTATATGATTATATGGAAATAGGGGCAGGACTTTACTCCGATCATGTGCTAAAATTAAGACATTAATGGGGAAGGGAACTTAAAGGATTCATAAAGATAATTGCACATCACCAATGTCCCTGTCATTACGCATCTGAAGTCACTGAGAAGGGCGTATAATTAGGTGATTCATCTAATATTAACTGCTTTAAAATGTTCAAGATAAACCCAAAGGACAGGGATTTCAGAGTTCAGATATCTATTTCTAGATCTTGGGAATTGTATTTAATTGCTTTGATTTTTAGTGGATGGTTTATCAATATCGTTTTGGGTTTTCTGCCCTCTCAGCAAGGAATTGCACATAGTCACTATGTTCCGAAATGACCTAGAAAACCAATGAGCTCCTTTGTATACAGTGCAGGGCAAAGGTGCACTCGACCTTAGAAGTTTAGATAGATTTCGAGTTTTGAAATCATTTTATTAGTTAACCTATACAGGAGAACTTCGAGCTGAATTACAACTCCTTTTAAAGTATCGAACTCAGGATCTAAGGTTGAAGGTAAGAACGATTTTGCAAATCTGTCTCATTGGGAGAGGATGTATTCTTGATCGGCAGAATAAATTATTATTTGATCAGACCGGGTCAGGAATAACAGGCGGGTCTCAGGTCTCAGTCTCAGGTCTCATCATGTCAAAATTAGACATCCTTAAAATCACTTTGACACCTTTTAATTACTCCATCCTACCCTTGACTTCGATGAAATGATGATGATGTCATAACGTTGTTGTTTATGGGAAAAGTTGTTACTTTGAAATATGTATTAGAAATCACTTACCATCTCCAAACCAAAGACTTCGATTGGACCCTTTATGTCAATCAGCAATGGATGACTATATAGTGGACCTTGGAAACGGAAATACCCTCCCCAGGCAGTATGTTTAATAATGAATCAGAAAATAACTAATAGTGTCCGATTTTATGCTTACGAAGTGGGTGGGTTGGCCTTCTAAAGAGAAGCTTTTCCCTCCTCTCAGCTGTGCTCTTCATGTCCGGCTCAATCTCTTACCCAGCCAAAGCCAGAATCACATTCTCTTGTGATTGTTTATAATCCCCACTTAGAGCCCGAAACTGCTCGTGGAGCGAATGAATGGATCAGTTAGGTCTGCGGACTGTAGCGATCAAGTCGGTTAGTGCGGATATCGGAAATGTGTCGCTTATATTGTAAATAAGTGAAAACTAATTAAACTTAAACAGTTGGTGTCAAGACATTATTATTATCTGCTGCAGGTAAGATGAAATATTAGATAAGTCTACAATTTTTGGACACTGCTCCTACGCACCTTTCTACGCACGATTTCGGAAGGCTATTCCCCTATTCTTATACAAATCTGTCAGCCGATTTTCGCCCCTTCTCATTTATTGATTAATGCCCCTCATTATGCCGGCAGTGAAACTTCTGCTTGCCACAACTAATCACCAAAATGGCCAAAATGTTGAGTCCGTCCAGTGCCGCAACTTGTCACAGTTTCTCGGTCTACACGAGTGTCTCTTGATTGTGTGGGCAGCTCTGGTCATAAATTTAATATGACACCTGCAGGATGCAGCAGTCACTGCCC